ACCCCCACAAAATGTCTCTGGTATATGGTTGTTCATTATTTTTGTTATTTTCTCGCCTGATCCATTATACTCCTGCTATGAGTGAAACCACACGGTATTTTTCTTTCTCTTTCTGGCTTATCTCACTAAGCATGATCTTTTCCAGCTCCATCCAAGTTGCTGCAAAAGACATGTGTTTCTCTTTTTTGTCATACCTTTTCTTCTTAAAAGTTGAAAATTAGTTTATAGATACTCTAATGTACCTAGTGGACTTCTTGAATGACACTGACTCTGACTTAGTGTTACCTCATAATTAGGTCACCACACCTAAGTGTTAAGGTACTTTTGAGAGTAAATGCCCAGGGTTAGGACTCACTAGAAACTGACAGTCTTTTTTCTTTCTTTCTTTTTTAGTATGAATGTTGTTTTTGTCTTCTACTTCTACAGTGTAAAACCTCAGAAAAATATCCTTATTTTCTGTGATAGAGCTAGAAGAATCAATAGTAACTCTTGGTTCTTATGTCTTCCACTTCCCTGTCAATTCATGACTAGTTACTAACATTGGAAAATTGAGAGATGATATTTAGTTAGAAACTGAGCTTCCTAGTTTCCTTTGAAAATTATCAGGAATTTTGGTAGCACTGACCTTCTCCCCTGTGAGTTGGATGGTGCAGAAACACTGTCAGCTTCTATTCTACTATCACCACATGCCTCAGTCCTCCCTATTGCTGCTCAAAACTGATGTGGAATATCAGTGGCTAATTTTCATTAGATTTATGTTATCAGTTATCTTCTAATGAAGTCAGTAGTATTTCTTACTACTGACTTCATTAGAAGATAACTGATAGCATAAAAAAGTAAAAATTTTTGTAAAAAACTGATTTTCCTCCCTACTTTTGAAGGCCATGGGGCCTCAGTGGCAGTCACTCAACTCGGCCCTTGTACAAAAGCAGCCACAGACAATCTACAGATAAACAAGTAGCCACACTAACTCGATCAAATCCACAAAATGGGATTTGGCTTGTGGACTGTTGTTTGTTCATCTACTTGTGCACTCCCTGCCCAGTTAGTCCCTGTTGGCATCTGGTTTGCCAACTCTCCTTTGGGCATTTTCTCCTCTTATTGTTGATCTGCCATCATTAAGGCAGATCTGGTACTTCTCACTAGGAATGCTGTTACAGGTAAGGTACATGCATGAAAATCACCTATTAAATGCTTTGATAGTTGACTTATCTTTTAAATCTTGAATAATCAACTTTTTAAAAAGATTTATTTATGCCTATAGAACTAGGGTACAGGCCAGAGGTATGGTGGTCGAGAATATACACCAGAGACAGTGGGGAGCAGAACAGGCAGATTGACAAAGTACACTGCTGAGGGGAGCATTGGGGGTTGGGGGTCAGGAGAGTTCTGCCATGCCATGTGGGTCAGCTTCCTGGCCAGGGATTGAACTCATGCTGCAGTGGCTTCAGAGGCTTCAGAGAGATTCATAATGCAGTGCTTTAACCCTTTGTGTCACCAGGGAGAACCCTCAACTTACATTTTAGTTGTCCTCAGTGTTAGATGATAAGAGGCTCCCCCAAAGCCTTATTTTTAGGTGCTATGGACTAAGGAGAAACTTTCTCTGGGCTTCATTTTTAGAGAAAACATATAATCATCTGTCTCATCACAACTTAATATAGTCAACTAAAAGCTTAAGGGGAAGTACTGCTTATTTATAGCCTTGAAATGCACATGAGTCAAAGACAGTTATTTTCTGAAAACTTAACTAGTGTTTGCCCTAAACATTGCTTTGTGTGGATCTAATTATATGCATAAAAGGAAGAAATTTTGCATAAAATGGTATCTCTAACCTACTTCTAAAAGTATGAGAAACATGTAATTACACTACTCATTAAGAGCATAACATTATAATAAAACAAAAGACACAAGTAATAACATCACTAAAATAAAAAAAGGTAACTTAAAGCCACTGAAAATGAAGGAAAGGAACTAAACCTAAGTAAGTGTGTAATATATAGATTTGACTTCCACCTTTTCGGTTGAATAGCCAAGTCAAAATGGCTGTAACAGCATGAAGATCTCTATAAAACTGTATTACAATGGTGTGGACAATGTTTTACATTTATTTCTTATTCCCTCCTTCTGGGTAAGTATGAGAGTGTTGCTTGTGTGTGCGGGGGAATGGAGGAGGCTGGAATGTTTGGCAAAAGTTCCTTTCTGTTCTGTGTGCCCCTCTGCATGAAGCTAGCAAACTTGGACCTGACAAAAGAAAGTGATGCCCCCAAGGAACTCAGGCTAGATGAAGCTCAAGGTGGGGTAAACCCCTGAGGCGAAAAATAGCATGGGATTTCGTAGGGTACTTTACACTGACTTCTAAAAGACATGAATTAATAATCTTCTAATCGTAATGATAGTCCCATTTAACAGGTGCGTTCAGGCATGAAATGTAATTATAAGGCAGGTATCCTCCTAGCTTACTGACTTGCTAATGTCACACTGCTCATAAATGGCAGATCTGAAGACATCTGTCTCTACAACCTTTTCTTCTAAATACTGAGCTCTTCTTACTCCTATCTGAATAAATGAGGGCTGATGTTAACAGAGCGCTGCTGGCAAGAAATAAATGTGAGCCAAAAGGGCATTGTACGTGCAATTACAAATCTTCAGGTCACCACCATAAAACAGTAAAAAGAATCTGTTGAAATGAACTTTGCTAATATAGTTTAACTCATTGTGTCCAAATATTACCATTTCATGCAGTAAGTACAAAAATTAATGAAATATTTTATTTTTTATTCCACATGTTCTTCAAAGTTCAGGTTATTTCCCACTTCTAGTTCACATGACTGTTAGCTCCATTTCAGTGCTCCACAGACCCGCCTACTGTTTCCTAGAGGTTGTTACCCAGTAACATAAATTTTAGTATGTGGGAATGGGGTTGAGGTGAGGAGAGCTTCCTGGATCTTTTCAAAATTTTAATGAAAGCTATAGATTAATTCTCCAGTAAAACCTACAAGTGCATGAAAACAGACATGCTAATATTGGCCTGCTATCATAGACCAATCGGACCACACTGGACAGTGAGGTTCTACTGATGGAGATGCTGGTGATAGACACAGGGGTCTCATTTCATTTTTAATCTCTAGGAAGTCCAAGTTTGAAAGTTCAACTAAGGTACTTGATGATCACTGTCATCCTCATCATAATCACCCATCATTTCCGAGAGCACTTATTAAGGCCTTAGGGGTATACTGTGGCTGCAGGGTCTCAGTGCCACTTTGCAGCCACAAAGGTTCTCCTCTTCACATGTGAATCCTTGGTATGTTTCAGGTGATCCAGGCCCTGCCAGCTATGGGAGGAATGGCCGTGATGGCCAGCGAGGCCCTCCAGGGGTGGCAGGAATTCCTGGTGTGCCTGGCCCACCAGGCCCTCCTGGTGCCCCTGGTTTCTGCGAGCCAGCATCCTGCACAATGCAGGCTGGGCAACAAGCATTTAGCAAAGGACCTGATCAGTGAGAGGCTTTGTGCAGCCAGCTGTCTGCATAACCACACCTGGCAAACGAGCTTGGAGAAGAGCCACCACCGGAAAATGGAGCAGAAGACAACGTTCAACACTAATATAGAGTCAGAGCAATGGTGCTATTCAGTGAATCCCCTTTCTTTCTCCTTAGAGGGAAGAAGGCAGGGTCACTGGTTAACAGAACAAAACAAACAAAATCCTCATTTTAAATAAATTTATAATCCTGTCCCCAGAATCTTGAATTTTAATGTGCTAGTGATATGTGATACATAGGGGCCTCTGTGCCAATAAAAACACCCCCCAAATACCAACTGTTTGGCTTACCTCAGTTGCAGTAGTTATTTTCATTTTTTAATTTGCATGTTATTCTCAAGGTATTGTTTCAGTTGTATAGAGATTACCAGAGTAGTTTGAGGACCACCCCTCACTATGTCAACAGAATTGGTGCTGAAGCCCCCCTTCAGCTCCCTAATATGCACTCTGGGAGTGGCTTCCTTACATGGCTGTTGCTTTTCAAGGTCAGCTTGACTTTTTTTTGTTGAATTGTACTCTTTCCAAATTCTGCTATTTTGAGCTCTATGTTAAAGCAAATACAGATTTTTCAGATCCTGCTCCTCATAGATGAGATTATTTATTTTAAAATTTTGAGGTAACATCTCTGGTTGTACCAAAGAAGAAATAAATATGGTTTCCTAATTTCTTGCATGTTTTCTATTAACTAATCATGCTCAGTGAAAAAGTCACTGAACATGAAGATATTAAAAATTTTAAATGATTGATAATACTATAGCATACACTTGTGCTTTTTTTCCACAGGAAAAAAAAAACAAAAAACAAAACTCCCTCATCTCCTCCCCCGCCTACTGTTTCCTAGAGGTTGTTACCCAGTAACATAAATTTTAGTATGTGGGAATGGGGTTGAGGTGAGGATAGCTTCCTGGATCTTTTCAAAATTCTAATGAAAGCTATAGATTAATTCTCCAGTAAAACCTACAAGTGCATGAAACCAGACATGCTAATATTGGCCTGCTATCAGAGACCATAGACCCCTGGACCTAGTGCCACATGGTTTTCAGGTTCAGAAAGCCCTGGCTTCATTGCAACGAGTAGCTGGCTAGCCTCCTCCCATTCAGAATTTCTTTGCCGTACAAATCACTTATGCATTATTACAAATATCCTTTTCACCATTGTTTGATTTCTGAGGATTTTCATACAATTAAATGTGTTTTACGTAACTCCTCATAGTATTCAGCAGCATAAAATTAGCACAATTTTCAATACAAACTGACATTGTTAAAAACGGACTTCTGTTTCTCCATTTTAACAGTTTTGTAACAGCAGGTCAACTAAAATACTGCATTCTTATTAATAAGATAGACATTGCCTGGCCACCTTACATTTTATACTATTTACACAAGTCACATTGACTTCCTATTATACATGAACTATCAGTCAGGCTTAATACATTCATTTTATGTCACACTGCATGCGTGACTTGTTCCAGGGCATAGTACAGAGTTCAAAATAGTTAATATCTCTCAGTAGTTTATGGAATTCAAATCTCTCAAGTCAGGAGTAAGTGTGCCCTAATAGGATTTTGATACCTATATTTTTCTTGTGTGCTTTCCATATATTTAAGCATTTCAGCCTTACTTGTTTGGCTAAATCAACTATTATATAATCTGTATTTAGACTTAAAAAACTGCTTATGGTATTATGTTCTATGTTTCTGAATGGATTAGGTTGAAGGAGAAAAATTCCAATTTGGCTCCTAGGTCAGTGCACTTATAAACAGACCAGGAAGAATGTTCTTCCTACCTGTGAAGCAGATACTCATCAGAAATAGAGATAATGGTTATGATTACTTAAAATGACCTTTCTGTAAATACCTTTCAGGTGCTGTGACAGATGATCAAATAACAGTAAGGATATCGCCTTATTTTTCAACAAGGTGGTTTTATTTTAACTGGAGTGACATAATCAAATACAGTGAAAGAAAAATTAGATAACCAAATAAATATGTTTCTCAGTTATATAACATATTCAATAAGAAAATTAAAAAAAAAACTTCAAAGAACAGTTTAACTGTTTTACAAACTTGATATATAAAAGGCTGTACAACAAGCTTCACAGATAACAATATTGGAAACAACCACTTACAAATAGATTATGCAAAATAGCACATCCTAAATGGTGAGAACAATCTGTTATAAATGTAGTTAAGAGAAATAGTTTACAAAAGCAGTAAATATTTGACTGAGAAATTACAAAGAAAAGTCTATTAGCCATCTCCATGAAAGAGAGTTAATAAATATTGAATTAGATGAAATTTCTCTCTCTAGCAAAACAGAACTATCCAAAACATCTGAGATATTTTAAAAAGTTGGATGAGTTATTATCACCTAGAACACTTGCTCAGAGAGGATTGTGCAGATAGTGAAAGTTGATTAGAAACTGGCATTTTACTCAAGGGTGAATGATTTCTGATTTACTTCTAGCCAGTGCTTCTGTGGGATTACAGTATGATTTTTATCACAGACATCTGAAAGGTTGGTTAAGGGCTATGGAAATCACTTCTCAGTCTGACTGAGCACATAAATTCACTGGTATGGTTTGGTATAATTGATGTTCATCAACTAGAAGACCACAAATTAGTAGCCAAACAGGTTATATAAATGATCTGATTATTTATGGACAATGTATTTCAAGCTGCTAATCTTAAACATCATTAGTAAAATCTGATATATTCGCAACTGTAATATGCTTAATTTTTGCTGTAGATTATCACCTCTGATTGCATTATTTAATTTCTGTCTATTACAGTATCTCTGATATAAAGTATCTCTGAGTTTACAAGTAAACCATTATAGGGGTAAGATAACCAGAAATACAAGAAATCATATCAAACATCAAGAAAATTACTCTTAAACCATTTCCTGGTAGCCCTGGCAAAAGGAGTGAAAAAATCAATGAGGAAAAATACTAGCTGTTTATATAGGTGGGCAATGGTTATAATGTTTTTAAGTATATCTATTTTAAAAAGAATACTTGTATTCAATAAATATAGGTTCTTTTTGCATAGAACAAAATAAGTAATTTTCATTCTTGCACTTAGCCCTTTTTTTTTTTCAGTGAGCTTCTGACATAGGATATAGTCGTATTACGTGCATATAGCTCTGAAAAATCTTAAATCAAAATGATTGGTTAACTTAATAATGTATAAAGACAAATATGCACACTCAAATTCTCTCTGGATGATTCCCTAGATGTCATAAAGCATATCTGGTTATCAGAAAGAGGGTGTTGACTACATTAGTTCTAGTTCTGGTAAGTGGCTATCTCTGCTTTTCCTTTTGTCTTTACCTCTTGCTGTTAACTGTTTTCCAAGAATAACTAAAGAGAGAATAAATGAGGGAAACTGGCTCCAAGAAATTGAATTTCTTCTTAGATTTATTTGAATTTGTCTTTGGCCTCTAAGTTGAAAATATCTATGTGAAGAAATGTAAGGCTGTTCCTTAGAGAGCACCATTTAAATTTTCTATACCATAGGAGGGCCTCAAGATGAGAATAGTTAAGAATCTTGTAAATCACTTTCCAGGCTAAGAAAACATAAATCCATTGGTACATCTGGAATGTGATTAAATTCTATCAAGGAAACATGCTATGCATTTAACTTTTTATTGCCTAATGTCTTATTAGTAGTGATGTAAAATCCCACATTGGTAAGAAAGTTAATTGTGCTATTTTTTTTTTAATCTTGCTTAGTCCCCTCTACAGCAATGAGTTTCAAATGATTTTAGTGAGTTCACTTGGTGGGACAAAAGTCACACAGGGCTGCCTGTTCTTTGACTTTTGTTTCTGCTTATATTTCTCATCCAAAGTTAGAATGGATTTTTAATGAACTGCCAAGGAGATGGGTATAAACAATTATAATGAGCACTGATTCATGTGACAAAAGTATAATTACCAACATGTATATACATGAACCCTATGATAGACCAGTTTTCAGATTCCTTGGATGTGTGTGGCACTCATGCGGAGCTCATTGGGTGCTCCTGGAGCAATCCGGTGGTTGAGACTTCCAGACGGAACTCAAGAATAGATACAGCATTAATAACCGCACCTCAGAATTCCCTGATTAGGGTCAGGTTCTTTATTGCTGAGATAAATGACAAGGTCATGAACACAGAGGAATCAGCGGTCCAAAGACATACATCCATGTGGGATTTAGGAAAAACTACTTTCCATTTTGCATGAGTATGTTGTGTTAAATATTAAAGAGTTTGATGAGGTAAGATAGAAAACAAACAAAATTGGTAAAACTGTATCCTAAGTGTTAGGTTTAAAATAGTTATATACCATAAAACAATCTATATTTAAATACATGAATACACTGAAAAAATTTATTCCAAAAATATGCCTTAAATAATATAGCAAAACAAAAAGTTGTTATCCAATCATATTATGGTCCAACAGCACACAGCTTTCTGATAAACTTAAATCTTATTAAACTACTCTCCTCTGAATTTAATGAAATCTGTTTTATCAGTATTCACTTTTGACAAATTTATGCAGTAGCTACATCTTGAGTAGTACCATATTATCACTCACACCTCTCTAAGCATGAAAATTTTCCTACTGAGGTTTTTTCCAACAGGGTTTCTTAGTCTTAGCTTCAGTTTTATAAACATGCCTTAACTTGAAGTAAATTTTTGCTCTTCTGGGTCTGCTTGTCTGAATGTTTTTTCTCTGTGTTCATCTGATTCTTTATTCAATTTAACCAAAGTGATGGGCTACTCTGGCCTGACTTTGTTGAGTAAAATGTTTGTATTTAGCTCAGCTACATCACACAGTAAACTTGTGTCCTGTGTCCTGAGACTCCCAGTAGTTAAACAAATGCAATGTCATTAATGCTTCCTTTACCAGTCAAGCAAAAATGAATGCGACTATGAAGTAGTGAGGCATAAGAAGTACAAATTCAATCCTGCATCTCCCCCCTCCTGAAAGCTTTTGTAATCTCCTTGAGAGGAAATAGTCTGCAGAAGGAGGCCATTTCTCAACACTGGAATATTAAGAAGAAGACACTGGGGAACAATGACAATGAGAACCGCGTCTCTTAAATGGAAAGTAATGAACAAATCTCAAAACTTCTGAGGATGCACTGAAAAAACATGACTGTAACTTAACTGTAAAGTCTGGTCTCCACATATTGTTACTAATGTTAGGAAAATTAAAATGCTATTTTGAAAAATAATGTTATTTATTTTACTTTTGTAAATAGTGATACATTTCTAGAAAAATATAAGCATTATACAAATCTAATTGTATACAATTTAAAGTACCTTGAACAATATGGAGATTCAGACATTGTATGATTTTATCAATGGCCTACTTCTGTGTTAAGCTAAATGCTTTTTTGCCTGTCAAAAGAGAATATCCTGTCTAACAAATCAGAAGATTACATAGGTGATTTAATGTTAATCACTAAGCGAGGAGGGTAGAGTAGAAACACACAACATTTCCAAATAGTAACTCTGTAAATAACTAGTTATATGGGTAAACATTCACTAAAGAAAGAAAATTGTAATGTCAATGAGTCAATGAGTTATGCCTGCTTCATAATAACTTAAAATAAGGAAAAACATAAACAAATGAATAAGAAATAAGTTAACAAAAAATTATTTACAAAAGTAAAAATAAGTGCAAAGGGAAGGTTCTGATTTAGTTGTCCACTAAATTGTTTCTGACCTGTATTTCTGCAAGTCTGTTCAGTTCTTCTAACTCAAATTGCTTGAAACACCATCTTGTGGACAAAAGGAGGTATATCACAGGTTCTCAACAGATGAGAAAGACTGCATAAAAGCTAGATCTTGCTTAGCTCCTAAAGCATATTCATAAAAAAATTAATGTATAATCTAAACATCTGGATGACAACCTTTGCAGACAATATATATTAGAGTAATTAATGTATACTCTATAGAATGACTAAAATTTAAATTTTCAACAATGTCATAAAATATAGAAATAATATGGGATAACTTTCAAGTCAGTAACTAAATTATGTTGATCACACAGTGAAACATTTTCAATGTTAAGATTGGTTGGTAAAAATGGTTACTATCAATAGGAAAGAACAATCAACAAACTCATGAATCTCTGGTCCCTTTCTTTTAAATTCCAAAGTCCATTCATGTTAACTGAAGTTATATGTTGTTGTTTGCATAGAAGGGTTTATAGTTGAAAGTGTTAATTGATCTGGTATTCAAACCTACTTATATTGGGCAAACATAATTTTAATGATCAATTATCATCATACTCTACAATTATTTTTCATTTAAACATCTATGCTTTCCGTAGTTCAAATGAGATAATTCAGGAAATTTGATAATTCTTTCCAGCTGTGAACATTACTGACTTCTATATGGAAGTAAACAAATATTTTGGAATGGAATCAAATGATACAAGAGAATTGGCAACCATCAAATTATCTGGGGGAGTATTTCCCACCCTACTTTAGGGCCTTAATTACCTACTTTCTTTTTACTGAAAAGATTGGACAACTGCCAAATCTCCACTTTATTTGGTGTTATATTAGATGGAACCAGTATTTGGGTTGTTCTTTGTTGTCTAGTATGTGCATGGTGAGGCAGGTACTGTGTTGGAAAGTAAATAAAACAGTAAGATGAGAGGCTCGCTCCTTGTGGACACAGTCCCAATTCTTTAGTTTTGCTGAAGGCATATTTAGACTTATGTTTCGATTACAAAAAATAAGCTTGAATCATGTGATATCTTGACTTTGTAATATGCATCATGCACCATTATGTTTCCCCTCTACTTCTTGACATAATAGTAAATCAGTCCAACATGAGTGGAATTTAAAAAAAGAAAGGTTCCTAAACAAGCAGTAAGAAAGGATGTATGGTACATTCTGTGGAATTAAAATGAACAGAATTTATAAAAAAGAAAATGAATTGAGTTTTTTAGGTCTATGAAAGGACTGACTGACTCAAAGAATAAAGAGAACACATTTGATCATCATCAGCAAAAAAGCTCATGAAAACATTAAAATGCTAAAATAAATACTTCTGGGTTAGCAATATGGAAAAATGATAAATAGCCATTAATTAATATGAAAAAATGTCTTTGAAAACATGAACTGTTCAGCTTATGACAAATTCAAGTAAATTAATGTGTCAGATGAATGGCAGAATTTCCAAAAACTCAACAAATTAAACAATTAAAAGCTCAAAATATACACATAGCACCAGATTTTAGATATATGTACATTTTTGGGATAAATTATTATTTTACTAAGAAAATGCATATGTATACTTCAATTGTGTAAATCTACAACACAGCACCATTGTAGGTATTGCACAGGAAAGAAAAAAGAAAATATCAATTTAAAGTTAAAAACACATGAAATAAATAATGTTGGAAAATAAATAAATGTGGAATTGAAATATACAGCACAACTCAATATGAAATAGCTAGAAGGTTGGATGTATGCACAGCCATGTAGACAGTACCTGACCAGCAGCTCATTCATCTAAATGGAAACCAGTTCAAATCATGGGTGCATTGGAACGAAGTCTGCTTCCCTTAGGCACACTCCTAACACATCTCTGTTCACAGCTTTCCTCAATTTTTGTGGGCTTCTTTCTAAAATTATTTTTCAATTAACAGGTAAAAGCAATCATCCTAGCTTGCCCAGCTGGACTCAGCACTGCTCTGAGGGCACTGGTGGCATCTCTCGGCATCTGTGGGACCCCACTACTTAGATTTTAGCAACATGCTCATACCCAGTGTTCTAGCAAATCAATTGTTTTCAACCAGTGGTTTCTCAAAATAATGGGTAGCTAGGTGATAAAATACCTCAGAGCAATTTTGATCACTGTAGTTTTGTTTCCTGTCCAAGGACATGGTTGCCACTATGCCCGGTTGTTTCCCTGAAGTGAGCTCTGGTCTGGTCTGAGCTGGCTGCACATTTGGCCCTATGGCTGTCCTGTGCTGCCCTGAAGCTCTTGCTGCAGTTTCAGGAGCATCATTCTTGGTAAGAGCTTTGGATTTCATCTTGTGGTTATGTATCTGATGTCACTACATATTCCTCTTCAAGGACAGGAGGTGTCTTTTCCAGTTGCTACAAAACCAGTACTTTGTTCTGATGGCTGGTTCTTAACTTAAAGTTTGAACATGATGAAGCCAGAGGATGTAGAGAGGCCCTAAGACATTGTTAGGCCACTGATGCTTTGAAAGCGCCAAAGACAGCCTGGTGCCTTCACTACCATGCACCCTTTGGAAAAGCAGCTTTTGTTTCCCAGATGAGAAACTGTTTTTTTTTTTTTTTTTTTTTTTTTTGCAGAACTCCTTGTTCCTTTCTTTTCATGCAGTACATATTCATGCTAGGTGATTGCTCTGAATTGAGCTCATTAAACAGAATTAACAAAAGCATTTAAGTACTTGGCCATGGTAAGCTTGGGTTTCCTGATAAAATAGTCTTCTGGTTTTGTTTTTCCCAAAATATAAATTATAATGTAAAGTTCTTATTGCCTATCTATTTCTCTGCATGAGTAGATTGGATGCAGAATGGTATAAGAATTCTTCAGCTATAAAAAGTAATCAACAATATTCAGCAGGAGCAATGTATGCTATCAAAAACTGATGATATTTTTAGTAATGATTGTAAATTATAACACCAAAAATGTCAAGATAAGCCTGAAACTTTAAAATTCAGAAATCAAAGGAGAAATACAATTTGATGAGACTACAAAATGTATATCACCATAAGCCTACACAATCATAAGATGCAATTTCCTCTAGAAGAAGAACTAATGGTAAGATTTGCATTTCATACAAAACCCTGAATAAAAATCATAGTATTGGTGAAGCAAAACATATGGAATGAACTTTGAAAAATCCAAAAAAACTGACATCACAAATTCAAATTGTGGCTTTTAAGGTTGGCCTAAACCATAAAAAGAAAGAAAAAGCAGCCCACAGATGATGAGGGTTTGACATTACTAAGATAGCTCCAGTGACAAAGAGATCTCACCAGGACCCAGTCTTCCCCAGGTGTGTTCATTTTCCACCTGTCCGCTGATGGGCAGGAGGCACAGGATAGAGGCAATCTTCTGGGCTGCATCTTCCACTAGGCCCTGGGGGACCCTGTGGACCTGGTGATCCTGGCAAACCTGAAGCTGATAAAATAAATGATCTATCAGAATAAAGACTACATACCGCCCTTCCTTCCTGCTTCCAAATAATATGGAAGGCCTAGGGTCACAGAAAAAAACCACTTCCTGTTGGCAGAGGCTTGTATTGTGAAGACAGTATCACTATTACCTGAAGTCCCTGGAAGCCCTGGACTCCCTGGAAGTCCAATTCCTGGTTCTCCTCTTTCTCCTTTCTGTCCTCGATAGCCTAAGGGAGAAATTACAAAACAAGAGAAGATTGTTCTATGGAAACATAGCACAGGGATGAATCAGTTTCTTGGTCTACGATGTTTATGGACTCCTTCACTTAACTTGAATAGTTTTAACAGTCTGTTTAGTCATAACACATTTCACTTAAATATCAAACAGACTAAATGCAAAAGGCAATAAGGGTCTTAGAAAGATAAAAAAAAAATTCCCACCAACCAAACTCTTGATAGTGAGATTTTGGGCCCAGAAAAGGGTTATTTAATGTTTAAAATTAATCACTTATCTCTTCTGTCAAATAGCTATGACAAATGTGGGAAATCTCTGTGATAGGAAATCTGTCTGGAGACTAGGAACAGCCTAAATATAAGAAGTATACCAAATTCTGCTTGGTATAAAAACAAGGCAATATGACAAGAATCTGGACCTTACTGGAAGATTAAAAGGGAATGAAAGGAACAGAAACTCATGACTTTAATAAATGATAGTAAGAGTTTGAGTATACATAAATCCACCCATCTCAGCAGGAGACACGGGAGGACCATTCAAGTCTTTGTTCAAATTACTTACTATCACATTATATTCTTCCTGAATAACATTAAAATAGTAACCCCATGTTTTAACATGGCAATTTATAACTCCAAAGGACTGGGAGATTCAACAATGCTAGAAAACAAAAAGAAAGGCTTCTAAATGCACTTCATTAACATAAGATGCTTTAACCAAAATGAATTCTGTCCAAGATCTGTACACTTTAAGGTCAGTTCATTCTTATTCTTGACTATGCTTGTTGTCACCATTGCTACAAGGCAGTGAGCAACTTGAGTTTGTGTAGACCCTTATCCCTGCTTTTGAGAAGTGTAAGAACATATTTATCTGCCTTTTTATATATTGGCATTCATGTAAGATTTCATTTGAGGAAATTTTTATAACTCTAGTAGCTCTGCAATGATTGTAAATAGTTTTAATCTGGCTTTTTTTCATACTTAAACAGCAGCTTAAAGATTGCTGCCACTGCTGAATAAACATACAAAATCATACAGAATCATGTAAACACACAGCAAGGAGAGGATCTCAGTAGGAAACAGTAGGCCTTAACTTAGTTGTGCCTTTTTATTAAGATGAGTTACTGCAGCACAGCATAACAGGAGAAGAAAACTGAATGTTGTGATGAGCAGTATATAAGACAAATTGGCTGGCATGTTGGCGCTGGTCTTGGAGCTCCTGTTCTCAGTTTCGTCTTGATCACACAGTGTAAACATTACTATCCAAATAACTAGCAATCGAACCACCAAACAGTTAGTTCTTGGCTTTGGAGATATGTTCTGACCATTAACGTGAAACTAGTGAGAAAAGAAGGTTATCTATTCAAGCAACATTTTGAGATGCATACTGGAAATACATCTAGCAAGAAATCACATATTTTTATCAGAAAATTATGTTGCATATACTCAATGCAGCCCTAGATTCTACAGAGGATAGTGACTTGAACATAAGGCATAAGGTTAAGTTGATATATGATCAATATTAAAATATTACCCGTATTTCTTTCATGCACAGTGATTTTCATTTAATGTATGCAAGCGGGAAAAATGTTTGTACTTAAGGTTATTTGAAAGCACTCTTCAAAATCTATTTTTTAAACATTTCTGTAATAAAGCAACATTCATTATATGAAGTATATTGGACACTTGAACTCAAGTTGCACTATTATAGAAGGATTGTAACACTGACCCTCAAGCTATCTCAGTTAGTGCTTAAAATCATATGCTCAAAAAAAATGAGGATGAAAAATGACTAATGGAACGTGAACTTTTGATAACAAGAGAATTAACAAAACTGTGACACTATTCCAATTGAAGGACATATCTGCTGAAACTTGTATATTTAAATTCAGTTCTAAGATTTCAATAGAACAGAAAAATATTCTATATGAATTTCAACACAAACAAAATCCAATAATTTGTATATTTTTATAATAGCCTAACATTTACATTTCTTCTGTCAGATGTAACAGTTTATTGATATAAATCTCTTAGTTCATTAGGTGAATACCTACTACTAACAGATGAAGGTGCTGAACTACACAAACATGCTGGGCTTTGTACCTCACATTTCCTAATAAAATACCAACTCATTCCTTATGAAGGTTCCCATAAAGCCATAGGCTCTAATTTTGTAATTACTTTACCACAATATTTTTAGATAGGAAGGCTAATGATGGCAATAACAGCTTTTTAATTCCTAGGATTAAGCTTTTGCCCTGGATGTAAGGTGTCTATTGAAGTTTGGAAAAGGCTAAATAAGAGGCTGGCCAAACTGCAAAGCAACATGTACTTTCATGAGTTGAAAGCATGAAGAATTGCAATCTGATATCACTACAGCTCACGTAGAAAAGTATAAATAAAATGACAGAGTGTCCTCATCTAAACCATCTAGAGGTAGTGAACACCAAAGAATTCTGGCTCTTGTAGCTTTTCGAGTGGTTGACTTTATTTCCAGCAGGGTGCTTTGTTTCACCTCCAGGGATTTACTTCTGAAGTAATAAATCTGTGCATCTCTATGCATAATGAACAAATGAGGCCAGAAAAGGAGTGTTACTGGCAATTTGGGAGGGATAATTCTTCATGTGGGTCCTGCCTCATGCCTTACAAGTTATTCAGCCTCCTTGGTTTTGGCCCATTGATTGGCTGTAATGCATTTCTGTCATTGTGAAACACTGATGCCTCCTATTTCCAAGGGCTTTACTGCTAAGATTTGAAAGGTCAAATCTTTATCAGTCATATGAACACTGAGTTATAAATACAGAAGTTTCCATTCATTTTAAACCAATAAGAGCTACACTTTAAAAGTTCAAAAATAAGAATAACTATTCCCAATGTTGCCCTTTCAAAGCTGACAGACGGCATACAGAATAGCTGCATATGTCCTTCAGATTTTTCTCAGAGGTAGAAAATCAGCTGTGTTTGGAAAATGTTTCTTTCTGTCTCATAAAACTTGCCCAAGAGGGCAAGCTCTGTTAGGAAAATTTACCTTTCTTTTTTACAATGGGACCCCTGCTGGATCATGCTTCCTAGGGCTTCTTTCATTTAATGTGCATGTTCTCACTCATCCCTAGCAGTACCAACAATCAGGTCGACACTGCAGGCATGAGGTGGGAAAGAAGATCACTAAGGAAAGTCTCCCATCAGTGTACAGCAGGAGGCAATAATAGGAAACACACAGGATAGTTAAAATCTGTCTAAACTGTCTGGAAATGCTTTCCAATTCCTTCTCAAACTCAATTGTGCTGCTTGAGAAAAAGACTAGTTCAGCCAACAGCAATTTTAAAAAGATGTCAACAGGCATGGGAATTGTGGAAATCAATTCCCAGAATCACCAGAATCACAATGGTCACCAGGCTCAGTATAAAAGAGGAGAGGGTTGAAAGAGGGCCCTAAAGAGGGTTTAACCAATATCAGAATCTTGGAGGGAGAAGTACCTTCCCTAACAACTTGGATGACATATTTCTAATAGTCCCGTATCCATTGCCTCATTGCCTTCTTCAAGTCTCTTGCTTCTTAGGATACATATATGTTATCTTCTTAGTACTACACATATATTATATTACATATATATCCCTGTGTGGACATGTATGCACACATGCACACATACTTTGTTTACTGTGATTAGCATGTTCTAAATACTGAGAGCTAGAAAACCAGTAAGCAAATGTTGTACTTGAAAACTTACCTTGGGGTCCAGGGTCTCCTGGGGGGCCAGGTAACCCATCCTTTCCTGGTGGACCAGGCCTCCCATGAGCCTGAGCAGCCAACATAGCTGCTGGCAGCTTGAGCTGTGATAGGAGCCCAGCCATTCTCTCTTCATGTATGAAAGGCAAAATAATATATTATGTTATGGAAACTTTTTAATGTAAAACATTTTTTTACATGAAATTTGACAACAAAAAAACCTAATTGGTTTTCAAATTAAGCACATCTAGTCTACCAACTGATATGTCTACGAAGAGAATTTTTTGATCAGTCAATTAAAATGGATTGCACAAAAATTGCTGGATGACATACACTCACTACCCATGTCCACCTAGGGGCTTAGAATCTGCAAAACTTCAGAGATGGATCAAATCTAGTGGACAAAGTGCTAACCTTAAATCTTACTAACCTTTTCTGGAAAGTATTCAGGTTCATGTTAAAAAAAATGGTTTAAAAATGTCTTTAGTAATAAATTTAAGACATTTTCCAGGAATGCTGTGAATGTATATATCATAATTTGAAATATGCTAACACATTTTTTGATACACTCTTCCAAAGGTAGAATTTCATTCCTCCATTCTTCTGTGTGGTCTGGACTTAACTTTTCATTTCTAATAATTAGGAAAGACATGGAATTGACAGTGTACAACTAGAGAAAGTAAGTCATAAAAGGTTCTCTTAGGGCCCTCCCTGGTAGCACAGTGGGTTAAAGCACAGCACTAAGAAGCTAAAACTACTTCAGCAAGAGTTTGATCCCATCCCTGGAGGTGACCCACGTGGTGCAGTAGACCTCTCCTGACCCCCCTCAGTAGTATACTTTGTTAGTCTGCCTGTTCTGCTCCCCACTTTGTCTCTGGTGAATCCTCTCACTGCCCCTGCACCTTTGGCCTGTACCCCAGTTCTGTATGCATAAATAAATAAATCTTTAAAAAATAAAAAGATTTGGACCCTCCCTGGTGGCGCAGCAGGTTAAAGCACTGCACTAAGAAGTTAAAGCCACTTCCACATGAGTTCGATCCCCGCCTGCCCCGGAGGTGATCCACATGGCGGGCAGACCTTTCCTGACCCGCACACTGCTCCCCTCAGCAGTCTACTTCATCTATCTGCCTGTTCTGCTCCCTGCTGTGTGTGTGGTGAATCCTCTCACCATCCCTGCACCTCTGGCCTGTACCCAGCTCTGTATCCATAAATAAATAAATCTTTTTTTTAAGAAAAGATTCTCTTAGATAGCTTACTCTAGAGGAAGCTTTTATGAATTGTTCTCAAGGAACATTACCATTGTCACGTGCCCTTTTACCAAAACTCCTGGAGCCTAACACTGTTCATCTGGGTCCAAAGGAAAGCATTCAGGGAAGAAATGAGGGATGATTAAAGGTGCTTGCTCAGGTGAAGGCATTAGGCCACGAGTCCCTCCACTGAGGTTCTAAGTACTGAGACACTTCCTAACAAGCCAATCACACTTTTGGATGAAACTGAGTTGTACAACATTGGTGTATTAGTAATTTGTGAGGTTTTAAATATCTGATAATGAGGGATTTTATTGTTATTCTCCACCCTCCCCCCCCCCTTTTTAATTGACCTGTAAATCAGCACTGTAGTGTTTTGCAGTGCTGGATTTCTCCCCTCAGGGGTGGTCACTTAGTGCTCCTACCACCAGTGCACCACAATCCTTTGTCTCAGTCCACCTTACTCCACCCATCTTTAATCTTCTCCCTCCCAACCCATGCCTTAAATGAGGAGTTATAAAAAAAGAATTTTGGCACTAAAATTCCTAAACAAGTTATCTTACTAGCTGAATCAAACTTTCTCTGTAAGTAGGGTCCTCCAGGGCACTTTATACTTTTGCACTAACTCTTCTTGTTCAGGAATCAGTTTTTCAAGAAGAACTATTAACCAGGTTCACCCACTATATAGCCTCATCCACTAAAAAGATTATCTTCTGGTGACCTTGTACAGGGGTGGAATGAGAAATGGGATCAAAAATGGTGGGGGAGGAAAGTGCACTGGACTATGGTGATGGCACATGCATGATTTGATGATGGGAAGTCAATGGGGATTACAACTGAGATGGGAAAAGGCACAAAATGATGTAAAAATAAACTATTGTATGTAAAAAAAAGTTAAAAAATAAAAGATTATCTTCTGGTAAGTTTTATTTATCACTGGAAATCTGTTAAATAATGGTAAAACATTCCTTCTCAACATTCCTTTTTTTGAATTATCACTTCAGGATTTTATATTATAGAATTCTTGGTTATTGATGCCATATAGGTCATTGTTCAGCTAAATTTGACCTCAAAAACATATTCAATATTTTACTATTCTAAAGATTACAACCTATTACTGAATTCTTTATTCAAACTTGCTTGGGTTGTTTATTTTCTCTGCATCACATTCAACAAATTTAATTATGCATAACTAAATTTAAAATAGAAAACTGAAGTGCATATCCTTGCCATGATGAAAAAAATCTAACCACATTGTTTTTCTTTTCTTTTCACATATTTCCCAAAAAGCAAGTTCAAATAATTTCATTTTTAAAAGCAACTGACAAAAGTTTTCAGGGACACAGTGTATAATAAGAAATGATACTTTGATGTAAAACGATCAGCATGGGTCTGGTGTAGATAAATCTTCTAGAAAATGTTACTGCTGATCATTTGTGCGTTTACTTTGCATAGAAGGACCAAGTGATAGCAACATCTTAGAAACTATAACTTCTAGTTAGAAAAAGCAAAGTCCAAAGTTTTCTCATTACTTGGTTTAGTAAATTTAGTTGAACTCTAAAGGTATATTTGTTTAAACATATATATATGTTTTATGATTTTTTTGATAAAGAATAAATACCTCCTGAATGAGACCACTTTTTAGTTGGCTTTCAATAAAATGTGTTTTAAAATAGTAGGTGCTTTTTGTGTTTTTTTTTTTGGTATATATATATATATAAATATGTAAAACAGGACAGAAATAGTTATTTAGCATAAAGGTAATAACTTCATCTGAACCCTACTCTAGTGGTTTAGAAGTTAAAATAAGATATTCCTGAGCCTCTAAATAAGCTGTAGAGACCTATATTCTTAATTACCTTTCTTCTATTTTCAGGAATCTTTCTCAATTAAACTGTTTTTGGTCATGTTTTCAAACGAGGCAGGAAATTGAGGAGTTTGGATAGGAGCACACATAAACCAAACACACATATTCTGTCTGCCAAGGCAAACTCACAGCAGTCATCTTAACAAATGAGACCAATAGCTCAGCTTCCTCAGAGAACTGGGCTCATTAATAAAATGCAGACATTAATATTAATGCATGATAAAGTACATTATATGGAGAAGGAAAGGATATTCAAATGTCATCTGGCCTATTTCTATCCTTTGTTTCACAGTTAGAATTTGTAAATGCTTTCAGAGAGAGAAATTCATCCTATTTGCCTAATGCCCATTCAAATGTTTCACTGTTTTCAGGTACAACTTCCTCTTATTATCTCTTGTTACCCCATTATGAAAACAAAGAGTTGTTAGTGAATATTCCCCTTGGGAAATCAGTCATATACTTTATGATATTGTTATCCTTTGGCCTTTAAGTTAAATAACTTTTACTCATAGGCTTGGTAATCTGTTTTGTAAATTACTTTTTGGTTCCATCTTCCAGGACTCTCCTATAAATCTTTTAATACATGGAAAGCAACATTAGATTTCTTTTACATTAACTTTTAGTTCAACATCATCATTTGGTGGATTCAGATTTGTTTTGTGGTTCACCAGGACCAGGTTGTTTTGCTACATTTATTTCTGGCCCAATCCTTTGCCAGCTTTGTAAGCATGTTGCTTTGAAATGTTATTGTGGGTAAAGAGGGTGGGTAAGATTGACCAGATGAGTCTGCTTTAACTCCCTCCTGGATCCCTGCAAAACCATTTTTTTAAGTCATAAAACTACAAGAGTGGAGTTATGAGCATCCAAGGAGGTAACACAACAGAAAATTTGGAAGCTGAAAACCAAATAGCTGAGTGACAAATGACTTAGCAGCCTTAAGAAAGCCAAATCTTCACACTAGAAGCTGAGAAACAACTAGTTTTAAGCCACAGAATCCTTAGCAGCCTCAAGAATTAGCAGCAGAAATTGTATCCGGAAGTGGGGGGTGAGGGGAGGAGGGACATTAACATAAGGAAAAGTGGTTGAAAGTCAGTTTAGAAAAGACCGTCATCTGTGCTACACAGTTGTAGCAGCCTCTCCCCATTCCCCATCCTCTTCAAAAGACTGAGGGTTTATGATGTGAAAAGGGTAAAAGATTGTCTCAGTACTGAGGATGTGATTCCACTGAGACTTGGGTTTTCCCATAGAAAACAAGGAAATTAAATGAGCATTTCATGCTCTGTGCTGAAGCCTACTCATATTTTCCTACTTTACTCCCCAAATACTGGCAACCAGACAGGAAATGGAAGTGTTTTCCTTTGGGGAGTCTGATGAGAATAAAAAGAAAGATTTAAATACACTGAACTTGAGGGTCCCTCAATTAAAAAGCCCAGCTAGACTCTCCAACAGTTAAGTCCCTTGTTAGCAAGCCCCACCATTACCTCACAATTTTCACATTTTTAAAACCCACTATTTTGTATGTAAGCAGACAACCAAAGAGAACTGGCACTGAAGATTCCTTGAAAATAAGTGAGAGGCCCTCTCCTCTCACCCAAAGAAAAAGGAACAAATTAGAAAAAATAGAAACTATGCAGCGGAAAATACTTTTTAAACTGATAATCTCCAACACAGGTATTTATGTATTTATTACACACACTAATAATACTTGTTTCCTTGCTGACAAGGAAAGAATTGAGCCTTGCATCCAAGCTTGATGTAGGACTAGCTGAAGGGGATAACAAACGGATAGTCAACTAGGCCTAGCATCCGGGAGATACAGGTGGGAGGAACTGGACCTAGCACCAGGGGACACAGTGGTGGGTCACCCTTTGGAATGTGAACCTAGATCTATATAAAAGACCCTTTCCCCCTTATTGAGTTGGCAGTAGCTGCGGACCCCACCCTAGGGGCTTTGTCTCAGCTGCTGTCCCGGAGCAATAAACTCTGCTTGCTCAGCCTTTCTGCCTCCTGTCTTTCTTTCTTGTAGCCGGTCACAGAAGTTGGGGCAAAACAATACTTAGTTGTAGAGATGCAAGAGCTGTTGCAACCTCAAAACAAGAGAACAGGGTAATACATATTCACATATACATACAGTGATGACCAGGCTTTTTCATTACTGGCCTCTGTGGCTGTCACCTGCAGCCTTGAATGCAGGAGGCACTTGGGGTTGTGGGCTTGGGACATGCATGCCTGATGGTGGACACCTGGGGTATGGCATAGGTGAGGGTAAGTGAGGACACCTGAGCCTAGAGCCTAGGCTCTAAGCATCACACAGAAATGTCTATGGTAGAGGACAACTACGACAGTATGAGGGAGTACTGCTAGAGGAAGAGACCATGAGACAATGCCAGAGAAAGCCCAAAAAAAGCATACAGATTTTCTGGGGACTGGGATGTCTGCCTGCCTGCACTATAACATGCATATGAAATACATGGATTAAAAAAGAGAAAACATAGTGAATGTTTTTTTTTTTTTTTCCAAACAATGGAAATCTGGAGGCAGAAGTATAATTCGGGGACACTTAGTCCTTTTCTCCAACAATTGTAGGTATGGCCTATTGAATCCAAAACCAAGATTGTCTTAAAAACCAAGAGAAGTTCTTGAGATGTAAAGAGATGTTTGCCAGATGTTTCTCCACATCCCCGCATAGGTTGGTAAATTCTTCCAGCATGATGTCCTAAATCCCTAAGTAAAATAATGTGATATAGCAAGTTACATTCTCATATCTGGCAAGATCCTAATTTGTGTGGGTATATTATGGTTATCGGCAAAGCCCTTATAAAACCAAAAGAAGCTAAACTGAGGAACAATGCTTCTGTCTCCACCCTCTGTGGCCACTTGACTTTCAAAAGGATTTGACTTGTTGGTTAATCATATTGTGAATTTAATCCAACCTTAAATTGGGTTTACTTTTATACATTGTGATCCACCAGACTTGGGATTGGTGGAAAAATACGGCCCTCCCCCATGGCTAGGATGCTGAAGGAGGGTTTGATGATTTAGGGAACAGCCTGCACTGTGAGATCTGTGAGAGTTGCTGTCAGTGGGGTCACTAGGAAAACTCTAAAAGGAGTTGAAAAGCTCCATGAGCAGAACCCAAGTTTTGTGTCCTGCTTGAGAATTTTACCAGAGCCCTCTTTCTGGATACCTAGGATGAAAAAGTAGGGATCTTAATTTCCTGAGGATTCCCTTCGCTCCATAATGACAGTCTGTGACTTGCTAATCGGCGAATCATGTGAAACTGTAACTGTGCAGGGGAGAGTGGAGCAGGGATAAGCATTAACTGTCATTGACATAGTTATTGTGAAAGAGCTAAGAGAGGCAGGTGGATGTTACTTAACTGAAGCACTTAACTAAAATTGTCTTAACATCTGAAAATTATTTTTTGATTTTATATAGAAAGCATTATGAAAAGGAAAGTTGTGACCTGGGAACTCAATGATTTGTGCAAGTGGAGTTTTTCTTTTTCTGTAAATGGTATTTAGAAATTACAGAAAAGGTACTGTCTAAGTGGAAAATTAAATGAGCTGAATTGGAATAACCTTGGAACACATTAACTAAAGTGCTCAATAACTAAATTCTGGGTTTTAGGTATACAATTTTATTTGGGAGAAGACAGCTTTGCTGAACTAGTGCCAACAGTGATGAAAAGAGAGGGGCCTCATATTGGGAGCCTCAGAATCTAGTCTCAGGAAACACTTTCCTTTTGAGCCACTTCAGAATATTGTTGAGAGACCAACATATCTACGGCTTCTGAGAGAGCACCGCTAACTCACCTGGACCTAGCCAAGCTGGAGGAGTCTGAGAGAGGTTGGAGGAAAGATGGGGGTGAAGCTAGAGGAGACATGGGAAGACTGCACATCCCTCAGCTTCAAAACATGCAGGGTGTGATGTGAGAGAGAAAGGAGGGCCAGGAAGGCAGCTGGAACTCCTGGAGTTAGAGGAGACCCTTGCCAAGAAAAGTGCAAACCAGGTGAACTCTTTCACAAGAACTATGTCAATGACAGCTCAGTCGCCCAGACTTCCCTCTTCAGGGGTGACAGTCCTTCGTGGAAGTAACCAGAAAATGGACTTGCAAAATGAAGACCTCCTATACTATATCTCAACATATTATTTCTGCTAGTGCTCGGTTTATATTTTATGACATTCCTAATCAACCTTTATAAAATCTACCGAAATATTTAACATGTTTTCATCTAGAGTTTTAAGAACTCAAACTTTAACATTAAAGCTGCCTGAGATAAAACATAACTGGCATAGAACCCATGAATCTGTGAACATAGACTGCAAGGAAATTAAGGGCAAAAAAATTAAAAAATATGCACCTCTGGCCTGTACCCCAGTTCTGTATGCATAAATAAATAAATATTTTAAAAAATTCTTCCCTTTAAAAAAATTATCAAGTCAGAGCAAGGAAAAGATATTTAGGAGAGATGAGGTAAATTGAAATCAACGGTATGGGTTCATGACCTTTAAAAAACATTTTTTTCCTCTGGTGTCAGTGAAGCAGCTAAAAATTCCTGTGTCCTGCTCTGTCTCTAGTGTGCATGTAAAGTAAGTTAATATGCACTCAAGCATTAGATTTTCATCTCTAAATAGCAATGACTGCTTAAAATAATCAGGGCTTCTTGGAGAGCAGTTAATTCCATGTTTGCAATAGAAAGACTTAAGATGAACTTGAAGCATCTTGTAATCTTATTTCTTGCAAAATTCAATAATGTATTTGTGAACTAACGATGCTTAGCAAAGGAGGCAGGATCCATGAGAGCCAGTATGGATTCATTTTGCAGAGACAAATAATTTGCAATTTATTAAGCCAAAGTTGAGGGGAGTGATTTTATTAAGCCAAAGTTGAGGGGAGTGATTCTGATTTTTAGCAGATCATGTTACAAAAAGCATGTGATATCCTTGTGAGTGGAAGAGAAGTGAACAGTGATTTTAGGGCAGCTCTCTGAGTCAGAACTCACAGAACAACACACTAATAGATAATTCAAATGGGCAGGAGAAATGTATTAGCATTTAGAAAGGTCTAATTCTTGATTCTTAACTATTTTTTATTAAACCTTTCTGTCAACTTTGATGATGGTATTTTTATAAAATTTATAGATAACACAAAATTCCAAGGGTCAGCCAAACTGCCCTATAATCACATAGAGATCTTCCAGATGGACAATGTAAGAACAAGAATCACTTGAACTTTAATAAGAAACAAAATCACTTAGATTTTTAAATGGACATTGTACATAATTAAGAACACTTAATTTCTGAAAAGTTTGTATAAGGAAGACCCAAGATTGCTGGTTAATTAAAAACTCAAAGTCAATTAACAGTGATGTGGATGATTGTTTTAAAGGATGTTGTCTTGGGCTTCATTATTGAGGTGTCTATACCAGGAGTCAGAAAACTTCCCCAGCTAAGGATATCATAGTAAATATTTAAGGATTTACCTGCTACATGGTCCCTGTCACTATTACTGCTCAGCAAGAAAAGCAGTCAGACTAAATGAATAAAAGAATAAGTGAGATTGCTCTAATAACACTTTATTTATGGACACAGATTTGAATCTCAGATTATTTTCAAATGCCATAAAATATTCTCTAGGTTTCAAAAAAATATTAGAAAGTGTTTAACCATCCATTTCTAATGTACCCACTCCTGATAAAAAAAAATAACAAAAAGGAAAGATATTCTTAACTTATGGACCATATAAGCATAGGTGCAGGTTGGACTGTAGGCGATAGTTTGTGGTCTTTGGTCTAGATCAAGAGACTCTCTGCTCTGCTCAGGTCAACACTTCTAAGTGAATGAGGTTCACTTACATATAAGCATTTCTCAGGGGTAATGGTCAGGGCCTGGATACATTTAATACTCTGTGGAGGAGGAAGTTGAGGAGCAACTAAAAACTCAGAGATTGAGAAATACTCACAGATTGACATGTGAATAAGGAAACTACTTTACCTGTGCTTTAGGACAGGATCACTTATAAGGAGGAAAATTTAACATACTCTCAGGAAGAATTTCCTATTAAAAGCAGAAACAGAGCTTTTTCATCATGAAGTAGATTGCCTCATAAAGCTGTTGTATAAATATATTTTGAGAATGTGGCTGAAGGGATTTCTACAGCAAATGGAGGAAGGGATTTATGTAAAAAATTCAAAATGTTTATTAAGTGACTCTAACCTTCAAAAATCCTTAGAACCTCCTGATTAATATACTTCTTTATTTCTTCAAATGAAACTGCATCAGCCTGAAGAAAAAGAAAAAAAAAAAGTTAAAATAGATCATGGCACCAATGAATACAGAACAGAAATGTGGGTTTATGTTTGAAAATGTGGGTTGATTTGAAAGTGTGTAGAAATATATTGATCACCAAACATGTGTTTGGCAATTGACTATTACAGGCAATAAGTATTTTTTTTTTTTTTTAAAGATTTATTTATTTGTGCATACAGAACTGGGGTACAGGCCAGAGGCTCAGGGGCGGCGAGAGGCTTCACCAGAGACAGAGTGGGGAGCAGAACAGGCAGATGGACGAAGTACACTGCTGAGGGGAGCAGCGGGCGGGTCAGGAGAGGTCTGCCACGCCATGTGGTCACCTCCGGGGCAGGCGGGAATCGAACTCATGCGGAAGCGGCTTTAGATTCTCAGTGCAGTGCTTTAACCCGCTGCGCCACCAGGGAGGGCCGCAATAAGTATTTTTTGTTTTGATAAAATAGGAAGGAGTTGAAGCACAAAATTGCTTTAAGTGCTGTATGTAGACTCATAACCAGAGATAAGACTAGTTCCTATTGAATGGAAAGACATGGCTTCATACAATTAGGAAAGACACTTCCTAAAGCTTCACTTCAGAAGTTAAAGAATTTGAAAAGTGGTTTTATGAAAAGTGGTTTTATAGTATTAGAATTTCAGATACAACTTCTAACCAATCCCTGGATACTGGTAAAAATAATATCTAACTGATGTTACATATCTTCAAAGGAAGAACACCTTGAAGAGATCCCAGATTATACTGGATTATTCTTTATGATGTTTTATTAGTGGGCTAAATTTACTAAGTCTTACCCATTTCATGTTTCAGTTTATTCTGTAATATAAAAACACAAGCTTATTTGTATTAAGTTTTTTTCTTCTTTTTTAATGGAAAATTCTGGGACCTTATAAAGAAAAGTAGGTAAATAATGTTGGCTGAACTTTTAACTCCCTTATAAATAAGTTCACATAATTTGATGTGACTGTAACATTTAAAATAGTAATGTTTTATTATACTACATATATATATATATATATATATATTTAAAGATTTATTTATTTATTCGTACAGAACTGGGGTACAGGCCAGAGATGCGGCAGGTGAGAGGCTTCACCAGAGACAGAGAGGGAGCAGAACAGGCAGATCGACGAAGTACACTGCTGAGCAGCGGGTGGGTCAGGAGAGGTCTGCCTCGCCCTGTGGATCTCCTCCAGGGCAAGCGGGGATTGAACTCATTTGGAAGTGGCTTAAGCTTCTTTGTGCTGTGCTTTAACCTGCTGCACCACCAGGGAGGGCCCTACTACCTAGATATTTTTAAGGGGAGACCATTATTTTTCATGATGGTGAGGATTTCAAAGTATTTCATTACTCTTCTTTGCACTTTGGTGGTCACTTGTATTTGGTGGTTATTCTTCAAGGGTATATACATGGTATTAAAGGGAATGTGATTGGTTTATAAGTGATTTGTGTAAGTCAGAATAGTTCTAGGGGTGCCCTATTCCAATGCTTTATTTTCAAAGGTGAATGGGAAAAATGTACTTGAATTTATGCAACTAATATCAAATACCAACATAGTACTGAGAGTTCATTATAAGGCTTTATCCAAATACATTTTAGGGACAATGGGTAAAAATAAAGATGTTTGCATATTGTGAAAATGTCTAATTTTGCCCTGCATCTGGTATTGGCTGATTATCTGAATTACACATGTCCTAAACTCCCTGACTAGACTCCAGAACCCACCTTTCTTCCTGCCAAGGATATTTCCAGGGAAAGTTTCTCTGTGAAATGGATACCAAGCATATCTCCTGAGGCTGCTGAAAGAGACAAGTTTCCTAACCAAACACTCTTTTTTGGCTGAATTTGGTTCCACTACAAAATACTACTCAAGGCAGATTTGTTCTTCTGATAATTTAGAAAGTAGAGTTCTAATAAGAAACAGATGTTTGTGTTTTCTATGTAGTGTAAGAGACATTATAGACAGAATTTAAGGATAAAGAATCTGTCTGACCTACCAAATAAGTTATGATCTTGGACAAGTCAACTCTCAGTTTCTGCATGTGTAAATGTGTGGTGGAAAGTTGTAAGAATCCACAGACATCATCTATATATAGTAAGTGCTTAGAAGAGAATTTAGTATATGACTTGAAGTATATTACACTTCTTTCCACTCACAGTGACCAGATTAGGCTCATTTTGTGTATATTCATATGTGGTTCATATATTATTTACAGGACTGCTTTCATTATGACAGGGATGCCTGGCCAAATCAGCTCTGAGCTCCTGGGACTCTTGGCACTACTCACCGGAGTGCCAGGGATTCCTGGAGGGCCTTGGTGCCCAGGAGATCCCACAGAGCCCTTGCTTCCTGGTGGTCCCACAGGACCTATGGCCCCTTTCATGCCTGGAAGGCCTGGTTTTCCCCGTTCACCTTGTGGTCCTCTGTCTCCCGGAATGCCCTGGTCACCCTGTTTAGGAAAAAAGTTAAAATAAAGAATGACTTCTTCTGGAACCACATGTGGCTAAGAGTAAAGTTTCTGGATTATTATTAGCTCTACTAGCTGTGAAGCCTTAAGCAAGTGATGTAAATCCTCTGTGCTTTAACTCCACTACGTAGAGTGATGATAAGAAATAAATGAATTAACTCATGCTTAGAACATGCCTACCCTGTTGAAAGCAAGCAAGAAAAAGTAGTACAATGCCATTGTATCTGGTTTCTAGAAGCAAATACATCTAGAATGATGACATTTGTGAAAGTCAATAGAAGCTGTCACTTCAGGCTTGGGTTCCCTTTGAAATGACAAATGACTACCAGGGGAACCTCATTACTGTGATTTTTCACTAAAATTTTTTTTAGGATATTCATAAGCTCTCCTAAAATCATGCGATTTTCCCCACTAATTTTCTCTGTATGAATCTTTACAGATTTTGGCATTATCTTTTGTACTCATTTTTATATGCATGTGTGTGTGTGTGTATTTGAATGTATTAGTGCTGTGTTAGAAATTTACACAATTCAGATAGATGAGAAAGGAGCTTTTGGAACATTCTGAAGCAGGTGATTGGGGTGGACCACTGTCACTTAGATTATTGAATCAATAGCATACATCAACATTTGTAGAGTGAGATGCCGTAATAAGTTAATAATAAGATTATATTAGATGTGCCAGGATCTAATAAGAAGCTTCTTTAGTGCTGGCTTTTATTCTGTATGTGTCTAGTATTGTATGTTTGTTAGTAAGAGTGTACTTGTGTGTGTATGTGTGAGAGAGAAATATCTGAAATGGAAAAATTAAAAAAAAGAAATAAAGCACATTTTGATCATGTACAAAATAATCTCTACATATTAAAACTTTTATAATTTAAACACAAGTACATTCACCACAGAAGTGTGTCTTCTTATGAAGACCCTACATAAGAGGACTAGGTGAGTGAAATAAGATATATCCAAAAAGCGGGGTAACATGTAACTATTGAAAGGTAGATGCAGATCTAATTTACTGACATGAAAAGATGGTCATTACATAGTTAGATGAAGAAGAAGTAATTTACAAAAACAGTATGAACTAATTTTTTTTGAAATATATATTTACATATATTGATACTTTCAGTGTAATTGTATATTATGTCCAAGAAGTGAGAGAAATGGGAACATGTCCAAAGTATCAATAGTGCTCATCTCTGTGTTGTATGATAACACAGAATTTTTTTCTATTTTACTTATTTCTATTTTCATATTTCATTCAAGTAGCCTAGATTACTAATGTAATAAGTGAAAACTAGTAAACCGGACATCAGCATGCACACACAAGTGCACATGCTCACATCACTAGCAGCCCTTAATAGAATTCCACTGAGTAACAATGTCTGAGTAATTTGCTGCAGTGGCTAACTCCAATGCTACCAGAAAATGTTCCCATGTTGCATTCATTAAAAAGAATAAAGGAAAGCTGCTACAGTGACATCAACCATCAAAACTATTCAAATAAAAGCAGACTACAAAAGTGGCATTACTGATGACTTTTTACATTCACTCTCCCTTTCAATTTCATTTCACACTACCCCTTTATTCAACTCAGAATAAAGTCATCAGTAATGCCTAATTCCTTAGGTTGGTGGTTCTCAACTAAGGTTATCTTCTCCATCCTCTCCCAACTAGGAGCAATTTGGCAATTTCTAAAGACTGTTTTGGTTGTCACCACATTGCTGGAGGAAGGGAGGCACTAGTGAGTATAGTAAATAGAGGCCAGGGGTGCTGCTGAACATCTCACAATGCTCAGGATAAATGCCTACAACACAGAATTTAAATGCTCTAAATACCAACGTTGCTGAGGTAGAGAACCCCTACTCCAGGTAAAAAGAACGTGGGTGATGGGTACAGTGTCTCAGAGAGGAAGGTGACATAATTTTCCAAACTGGACTAGCTAGACTGAGCTTGTACAGAAGGCCACTCATGTAGGTATACCTGATACATGACCTGCTTTGGGGACCTTTGTTGTTTTGAACACTTAGCAGAGAGCTTGAGTCATATACAGCCTAAGCTATTCATACTGGAATATTTGTAGGGGTTGACATCGACATACATAATTATGTAAGTCAAATGATGGGACAGTTGTAACAGACAGACTGAAATAATAACCATAATTGTAATATACATACACGTTCTCCTTTAGGGCCTCTATCTCCAGGCTTACCCATGATGCCCTGAAAAACAGACATTAATACTAAAAATCACCATTTCCCAAGATTTTCCATCAATCTGCTCGATCAGGTGTTCTGCATTGTCACATTTATTTTAAATGGTATTTTCCATACCTGAGCACCTGGTAATCCATCTTTTCCATTTATTCCCTATAAAGACAAAAATGATGACTATTTCAAATTCTGCCAGAAGAGCCATAAGAACAACAAAGGGGAAAGCTTTTCAGGACTTAATCATATTTCTAGTGAACTTTTTGTGAAATAGTATGTGAAGTGGAAAACAAATGGATAGAGTCAGACAGCCATGAGTTGGGATTGTCACTGTTACTTAAGTCCTATTACTTCTGAACATTTGTTTACCCTTAACAGCATTGGCTTCTTATAAATTGAGGTAAAATAATGACCTTAAAAGTAAGAATTGAGTGCAATAACAGAAAGTGCCTACTTCACTGTACACGGCCAACAGAGTTATTTTCCTTACTTATTCTATTAGGCATATTCTGAAAAAAAAAAAAAGAAAGAAAGAAAGAAAGAAGGTGCCCTATTACCCCATTGCATGGGTGGCTGGTGTGAAGCATTTATTGTTACCTATAAAACCTTTCCCAGCAGAGAGAATCGTTCTCTGTAAATGGTCTCAGTTGCTGCTGGGGAAAAATTTCATAACACGGCCAGCGCATGATCCTCCTATGAAATGAACTGTTAGCCAGAGAACAATTGTTATTTTTCGTTTGGAAAATATGAAAGGAAGTAAGAAATCTGTAATCATGGTTTTTGAGAGTATTAAGCAGTGGTTTTTTATTAGAAAACTAGAAGTTTCCTAAACTTTAGAAGGCAGTTTGGGAGGGAGCAATAAAGCTCAGTCCTGTTTGGAGATTTATAAGACTAGGAGAACTATTGGCTGGGAGATGTTAGACGGAAAAGCACTTGGGGTCAAATCAAATACCTAGAGTCTGGCAGCAGATGTGTTTTTGAGATTTGATTTGAAGAGGGAGATCAAGGTGAGGAAAATGATTTCTTAGCCAGCAGGCAATTGCATGGTATACTCCTCTGAAAAGCCTAGGAGACTTTTATTGTATTGGAATGGATTCTATGAGGATGGAATTGCAGACAACTACATGTTTCCACTGCTGTAAACTACACTAAAATCTGTCACAGTTGATAACCCAACCAAAGTCTCCCAAACTCTGAAGCATCCTGGGAATTATCTAGAGCACTTTAACTAAGAACATGTTACCTGAAGTGAATGGTTCAAAGAATTTATTACATCCAGAAACACAAGCAACAAAGATAAAGCTGATTAAGGAGAGGATATGAAAGAGCATTCCTGTCACTTGAATAAAAGAAGACAAATCTAGTGTAAAATGCAATTCATGTTTTTGGTAACAATATAAGAAAAGAAATAATCCTGCAACCTTTCTTTTGTCTCTTGTAATTTATCAAATCCTGTCATGTGTGTTCTGTTCTCTGTATAGGAAGGTGTTACTTGCTTTCCATAGGAAGTCCTGCTTTCAGAACTTGTGACTAACCTCTCCTCTCATCTTACTTATCTGGCAGATCCCATCCTGGGAAGAACTTCCTTTCTACTGAGTGCCTGCATCTAAGCAGCTGATGAAAAACATATATCCTGGCTCACTTATTCCAATCTCCCTGTACATCTGCAGGTGGCAAGCAGCCCCTGGGCATTGCCAAATCTTCCTTCTCTGTTTCCTGATTTGACTCCTTTCCTTTGCTCCAAAAGGAAATTTTCCCATATTTTCCTGACTCTCCCAATCTCCAGAATCACCACCCGACTCCTCATGCTCAGGTAAAGACCTCAATTCTTTCACTGTGAAAATAAACAGGAGTGAACCACGTCCCTTCCTCTTCCCTGATCCACCTACTTACCAGCATTTGTACTCCAGCTTGAGCCCCTTTCCCTCCCAGGAGCTTGGTCTCTTCTTTCACACATGTTTTGATCAGCGGCACACCTTTTCAACCACCCTATTTAAATGACTCTCTAGCATCTTACTCTGCAAGTGTGTGTGTGTATTTGTTTGATATCTGTGCCCTTAGATCATAATGCATGCCCCCACCCCCTGCCTCACCATGAGTTTCTGGCACTCAATACAGTGCTAGTATGTAGTAGGTACTTAAGAAATATTTGCCAAATGCACAAATTTCTTTCTGCATAATTTCCTGGAAGCACATTGGTATAAGCATTTATCAGATGGCTCACAGGGAATGGGGAGTTGGTAAGAGAAGGTGAAGGGAAAGGAAGGAAAGAAACTAAAATTTACTAAGCACCTCCTCTTGTCCCCCATGGCCAGGCACTGAAAAATCTTCCCATCCAGCAAGTTACTTAAGTGACTGTAAAAACGCTGTGAGTAATAATTCAAAACCAAATCATCCTGACACTAACTGCATGAGTTTCCCATTTTTTTATGTTGTCTTTTCTGGGGAAAGAGTGTCCAGGGAATGCACCAACCCTGAAGGTTTCACAAAGATATGAACAAGCTTCATGAGTTCTGTGCTGCTTGCCTACCATCATCCCCCTTCTCCTAACTGCATTACTTCTCCTATAGATCATGGCAAATAAACAAGTAAAGGAGGGGAATCTTCCTTAAAGAACAAAACAGAAAGTGTATATGTCCTATTCACGTTTATATTCTTTCCCTGAGGGCCTAGCCCATCCTTAGCAAATAGCAGGGACTGGATGGATATAGGTCAAATTAAATTGAATTGAATTAGTAGCTATGACTCTTACAATGCTATCAATATTAAGTTTCAGCAGCTGAGAGTTCCTATAGGACACAAGGTGATGATATATTTGCCAGCAGTGACTTATGAAGATGTCAGAACCAGGCCCATAGATATAGGAGGGAACCTGAGAAAATAGTTTCTACTTTAGCTTAACTTACAGGTCTTATGTGGTAAGTCTTCTGTTTCTTTATATTTTAGGATGTGACAAGCCATTTTATTTCTTATCTCCACTGAGAACATTAGACTTAAGAAATAATGAGTCTAATTTCCTGACCCTTAAGACAAAACGCTCACCTTTCTCACCATTGCTTCAGACAAAAAGCTCTTGCAGAGACTGACGGCACTCAGAGAGAACCACACTCTAAGACATCCATCTGTAGCACTTGCTCCTATTTCCCTGGACACTACTTACTCAAATCTCAGACTTTCTGAGGAGACAGGAGATAAGGTAATGCTTAGAATATTTCACGAATTGGAAACATTTAATGTAAAATGTCTTACTGGCTTTCCTGAGGGCCCTTCTGGTCCAGGGAAGCCTATGTCACCCACAGGTCCTCTCTCCCCCTGTAGGGATGGGCACAGAAGAGAAACTGTCAAGAGAAGCTTTAAAACAGCAGGGTACACGTGTTTAGGACACAACTAGCCACTCACCGGTTCCCCTGGATATCCCTGAGGTCCTGGGGTTCCAGGTTTCCCCTGGGAAATCAAGTCAAAAAGAAATGTCAGGAGTCAGATGACTGAGAGATGCCATACATTCTCCTCCCTACCTGTATGCATGACGTGCTGTCAGGGCTGTGACTCTGACACAGCCCTAAATGACACTCCTACGGGGACAGAGTCCAGGCCACATGCTTGGCTCTGCAGGCTCAATGTGCAGTCTGAGTGCAGTTCTCCGATGATGTATATATATATTATGGGAAGAGAAGGATAATATTTTTGAAACGTTTAAACCAATATATCTTTATTACTGAAAGTCCCACTGTGCATTCTAGACTGGCAGGTCTTCTATATTTTAGGGGTGCAAGGTACAAAGGGGTCACAGAAATCTTTCTTAGATATTTGAGTTTCATCAGAGAGCTTTTAAATTCATAGTAAGATAGCCAGGAAAACAGCTTCCTTTACTTGAAAAAACACGTTTGATTCAAAGGGAGAGGAAAGATTAATTTGCTCCAACACACATGGCTTAGAGGACTGGACAACACAGAAGTTCTGGGGTAGAGTGACCAGAAGGAGAGATAAGAGAGAAAGATGGGTTAGCAGGGACAGAAAGCAGAGAAGAGTCAGTGTCCAGATTGGGCTTAAAAATGATGCCTTTGGGAAGGAACCTCCTCCTCTCTTTTGAATCTAATGTGGCAAAAAATGTCAGCATATAGGTGTGAGGCTAAGATTACAGAAACCCCAGGAGGTCCCATGGGAAGAAGAGGGAAGGGCTTTTTCCCACTTGCTGCTTAGAACTCTGGGAGAAATCCCCTCGTGGGTTCAGACGTGCCTGAGAATGAAGTGAGGCAGGCAGGAAGTCTGAGGGAGCACCCTGGCGCACCACACCTTGTGTGTACAAGCAGGATCTCCTGACGCTCCTGTGAGTCTGAGTTGGAGGGTACATTAGAGTCGAGGTTAGTGTGAAAAGGACTTGGTACTTAAACTGGGGATGCAGAGTGCTCAGGTCTGGAGCTCTGACATGAAAAGAAGCAGAGGCAATTTCAGAGGTCACATAAAACTCAGAGAGTCTGGGAGAGGATGTACGGAGCAGAGGCCCATCCACTCTCATCACTTAAAACAAATCCTCTGGTATACCCATTGCCCTTTATAAGGAAGGGTGAGCAAGAAGCCCTGGAGAGATTACCAGATGGGCCTAAATATACTAGAAAGGGATAGGTAGGTGGGTTCTAGGAAGAGTAGAATTAGGTCTGCTTTTCACAGCAGAGAAATCATGGCATGTCTGAATAGATAATGAAAAACATCACCTTAAAATTACTTTATTGTGCTAAAATACATATAAAGTGAAATTGACTACTTTTTTAAGTGTACAATTCAGTGGCACACTATTGTGTAAACTTCGCTACTATTTGCAGAATTTTGTAACTGTTTTCTGAGTCACAGGCAGTTTCTAGTATATATATAAACTAGATTGCATTTTTGGTTACACAGTTGTACATCTACAGTGTGGAAAAAATTTACCTCGTTCTTCTTTCTGTAATTGTCTGTTGATCCTCTAAGCAGCAATATGAAAACTGTCTTTAAAAGTAAGGGCTCTCTCTGGTGGCATAACGGGTTAAAGCATCGCATTATGAAGCTCTCTGAAGCCATTGCATCATGAGTTCCACCCAACTAGGGAGCTGACCCACCTGGCGCCGCAGACCTCTCCTGGCCTGCCCACTGCTCCCCTCAGCAGTGTACTTTGTCAATCTGCCTGTTCTGCTCCCCACTCTATCTCTAGTGAATCCTCTCACCACCCCTGCACCTCTGGCCTGTACCCCAGTTCTGTATCATAAATAAATAAATCTTTAAAAAAAAATAAACGGGATGCCTAAACAAGCTTGCAGATACCCAAACAAGTGGCAAGTGAGCCCCTTATTTTCATTATGCTGCATCCTTAACTTTGTCTTTGGAATTCTTATTTTGGGTTTCTCTTTGAGTTTGTCAATGAAGGGGGGCAACTTATAAGGAGATTTGGAGCAGTCATGACTTCTAGTATGTTGCTAGGAATGTAATGGAGGTGAGGAGAAGAATGGGATTAAATATGAGCCAGTCATCAAGAACTCTTTCCTGTATAAAAATCTCTTAAGTACTTGCTAAAGAAAATATTTTCATGTTACTTTTATAGTCATACTAATATTTAAATTACTCTAGAACAGCTAAAAGGGGATGTTATCTCCTTTTATGGTTTTCTATGGATTATGAATGGGATTTATTTTTTGTCAAATTAGGAGTTAAATAGCCTGAAGTAGAGTGACTGCTGGTCTTTTCAGGGACATATGCTGGTGTGCTGTGGTGGATGGTAAGTGGTGGTCAGCTCTGTGTGGTGCTGGGTATCAGCGGATGCCATTGGGAGATGGCTGCACACCCTTTGTCATCTTTCTTATTTTTTTTATGACTCAAGCACAAGGTTTCCTTCAACTTCCCTATGCTGGATCTACCCTGCAGGGGTACCTAGCAAGAGGATGAATGGCCTCTTATTCATAAAGCATGACCACAAAATTTTAATTAGAGCATCATGAATGAGGATCAGAATGATCCCTAGGGCTCAGAGAAATGATTTCAACCTTTCCTGAAGCACTTCCTATTCATTTGAAAAGACCTTGATGAGATTAAAACGTTTGACGCCAGAGAGCAACAAAAATGATTGAAAGGATTGAAGGGCTAGTTTACGAGGAAACATTAGCTGCAATAAAGCTCTGCTGTTACACTGGGCTGAGGGAAAACTCAGGCAGATTGCCGTTTAATACAAGGAACTTGAAGTACATGACTGAAGATGGATGAGAATTTTGTCTTTTGAGGATCAAGAAACCTTCAAAGATGATAAGAACAGAGAAACAAAGCAGCTTCTCAAAGTATGTTCTTGTATTATCCATTAATATATAGACCTAACTATATAAAAATACATTATATGTATACTATTGCATTATCATAGATAACTGCACTTCTCTCCCTGCTCCCCAAGATAAAGTGGAAAAAAGATCAAGACTTTCTTCAGGTATAAGAGGGGCAGGAGATGGCTTTATATCTTAAACTGGTGGTTTCATAACACTAATGTTTTAGGGGTTACCATGTACTCCCTAACTATCCTCAGCTGTAAGCTTGTTATGGAGACAGAACTGTTTGTGAAAACAGTGTGAGATAATCTGGACTCACCGATATTCCAGCTATGCCTGGAGGACCAGCTGGACCTCGATCTCCCTGTTGGGACAAAAAAAAAAAAGCTATTTATAGTGATATCTATGAAATCTTTAGCTATAGAATATTGAAAAAATAATTAGGATTTGGTAAAGCTTTTCTTTGGAATTGATAAACATTACCAAGTTATCAGATGATGTGATGCCATATGGTAGAGGGGAAATTAATAACATTAAAGATGTTAAAGCTTTCTTTGGGTCACAATAGGAAATCTCATAATTTTAATGAAAATGAGCAATCAGGTTATCATTTCTGTTACCTATTTTTAATTGGGTGCCATCTATACTTATTGTTAATTAATATTTGTATTCCACATATGCACAAAACATTCTTTATTGTTACTTAAAAAAAGAAATGGACTGAATGTCTTTTAAAAGCTTTTGCTAACTTGTCTCATTGGCTGTAACGTTCTTATAAAGATATATGAAACTAGGAATTTTGTAGTTCTCCTTATTAAAGAATCAGAAGTTCCCTTCAATTGCTCTGAATATTAGCATCTCCACTCTTTTCCCAAAGGCAATGTGGTATTTTAGATAAAGCTGACAGTGTGAAAAATACTAATGATTATATATAGGATGATAAAAATGGCAATTTTTGTTGACCAGAACCAATATTTAAAAACTTCATAACTTCACTAAGGGTCATAAAATAAGACTTGATTATATGGAGAGCTATGTTTTGTTCTGGGAGGGTAACATAAAGTTGTAAAGGTGTCATTGTTACCCAAACTAATTTATAAATCTAATGCAATTCTTACAAAATTTCAGCTTGATCAAATGATATTAAAGTTCACCTAGAGTAATAAATAAATGAGGGTATAAAGGAAAAAAATCAAAAGAATAAAAAAGAGATTTGCAATACCATTATTTAAACATACAATAAGGCTATAATTTAAATAGTAGAATAATGGCATAAGATTAACCAATACATCAATGTAACATAGGAGAAACTTCAGAAATAGAAGCCCCGTCTATAATAGGACTTTGGTAAAGAAAGGGATATATTACTCAACAAATAGTGATAACAAATGAATACATTTTTTTGATAAGAATTAATTTATGAGTATTATAGAGTTTAATTTATATTCTAATATAAATACATTATAGTTTATAGTATATGTTTCTTGTTTTTAGTTAATAAATGTGGACTATAAACAAAGTCCAAGAAAATATAACACATTATTTGATTTTGGTTGAGAATGAAAATTAAGCTCATTGAGGGTATACAAGCAATCCAGAATCATAAAGAAAATAGTTTTAGATTTGACTACATTGTTATACTTATATATATAATATCATTAAACAAAACTTTAAAGGCAAAGACCAGAGGATAAAAGTCCTCATCAAAAAACAGTATCTTTAATAATAAAACATAGGTATAGTAAAAAAGAAAAGTAATAGAACTCTGTCCAAATGCTATAAATAGGTAATTGTCAATATAATTTTGCTCTTTTTACATGATGAATTTTTACTCTTCAAGTGAATACACTGATATTTTCATTCAATGCAGACATCTGCATATTAGGTAAAGATTAATGTTAGGAGGGCTTCTCTCTGAGAAAATGGTCCTTCCAACATTTGATCTCTCAGTTCTTTGAATCACTCTTTTCTAAAGATTTGGTATCTCATTTCTACTATTATATCTGAGACCTTGTCACCACCAACAACTGTATCCCCTCCATACTCTCAATTTCATGCAATGTAACCTTGGATCACTATCTCCTATTGTTCTCACTCCCTGGAGAGTAACTTGAATCCCCAAAACTTCTGAAACTACGGAGACTCCTAATTTATTATGGTACAAAGTTTTCATTATTCTTTACTCCCTGGATGGCTCTATCCCTATTTATTTAGTTATCCATGGTCACCTGTATAATCACTCACCTATGTATATCACTGACTCTTGCCCCATTCTTGCTTCCAGCACTAACCTTCAAAACCAGAATCTTGCTACTCTGTGACTTCGAGTATCTGTATATTGCTGGAGGAAGCACATATAAAATTGCTGATTAGTTTCACTTTTTAGTTCCTGATGATACCTCAAGGTAGTGGGGGGAGTCATAAGGGAACCCTAGGGCTGCCCAACCATTACACCCTATGGCCCTTGGACTCTCCCACTCTCTTAGAAGAACTTCTTAGATATCCAACATCTTCCTATCTTACTCTCAGATAATGACCTTACTTTCTTCATTTCTGAAAAAATTTAAGTAATCAAAACCAACTTCTGTAGATTCTGATCAATACATCTCTCCATATGTCAGCATCTGAACTCCTAGATTCTATTTTCCACCTATTACCACAGATGAACTATCTAGGCTCCTCTCTGGAGGCAAACCTTACATTGATGCTCTAAATCCCCATTCTTTTTAGTTATTTAAGGATAATCTTCCATCAATTCACCTATCTTTTACCACTACTCTTTTTACTGGCTCACTTCTTTAGCATACAAATGTCCTGGTATTTCCATGCTCTTAAAATCCATTTTATAAAATGTTGCTTTATTTCCCCCGGGAGCCACTGGCCATGTCTTTGTCTCCCTTTGTAGCAAACTCCTTGAAGAAATAAAAGCAATACAAAAACCCCTTTGCTTGTATTTTCTATTTCTAATTCTTTATTTCTTATTCTATCTTAAACCCATGCAGGTTCAGCAGTTGCTCCTACCAGTACAGTGGAATAGTAATAATTCCTCTGACAGAGGTCACATATGACCTCTACTGTTGAATCCAATAGTAACCACTTGAACACCTTACTTGGCCTATCCCCATCATACTTGACCTATTTGCCATACTTGAGAGAGGTGATCACTCCTTTCCTTGAAAGATTACCTTATTTTTGCACTTAAACATGTTTTGTTTTATAACATTTGTAAGATTCAGAGGTTAAGGTTCATATAGTTTCATGTGCATTTTACCACATTACACCCAACACTAAGGCACCCATAGCTCCCCACCACAGGCTACCAAGTTCTTCTCTCTACCTTGCCACTCCTCACTTTTTTTTTTTTTTGCCACTCTTCACTTTTGATCCATCGCCACTATCCACCTCTTGCAGCCACAATTCTGTGTCAGATTTCTAGGCTTGTTTTGGATTGGCTTTTTATGTGTGTGTGTATGTGTGTTTGTTGTTTCTCTATATTCCATGAATTTAACTGTAAGTATTTATCTCCTACTAAATTAGCCCTTCGATTTCACCTTGTTATAGCTGAATATTCCATTGTGTAGACACACCTCATCTTTTTAAAGCACTCATCTGGGACTTAGGTTGTTTCTATACCTTGGTTAATGTAAATAGTGCAGCAATAAATGCAGGAGTGCAAATATCCCTTTAAATTAGTGGTTTTGTGTTATTTGAGTAGATACTGAGGAGTGGGATTTCTGGACCATATGGTAGAAATTTATTTAATATTTTGAGAAATACTGATATGTTCCCATAGGGCCTGAACTTACAGTGAACAAGGGGTTCTTTATTCTATATATACTTGCTACATTTATTTCTGAAATTTATTGATGTAGGTAACTTTCACAGGTGTGAGATGGTATTGTGGCTCAGATTTTCATTTCCCTGATGATAAGTGACATTGAAAATTTTTTCATGTGCCTGTTGGCCATCTGTCTGTCTTCTTTGGAGAAGTACTGTCTTCCCATTTTTCTGTCTGGGTCATTGTTTTCCATTGTTGAGTTATATGTGCTCTTTGTAGAGCTTAGAAATTAGTCCCTTGTTAAATGTATGATATGTAAATATTTTCTCTACTTTGCTGGGTATCTTTTCATGTTAACAATAGTTTCTTTCAATGGCAGAAGTTTTCTAGTTTGATGTAGTCCCATTTATTTATTTTTGATTTTGTTTCCCTTACCATGGAGTTGAATCTCCAAAGACATCCCTGGAAACAATGTCAGAGTATCTTGTCAATGTTCTCTACGTATTTTATGGCTTCAGCAATTACCTCCAAGTGTTTAATCCATTTGAGTTAACTTTCATGTATTATATGTATACTGACAGCATATGGATATATAGTTTCCCAGCACTACCGGCTGAGGCTTTCCTTTCCCATTGTAACCTCTTGGCTCCATTTTCATAGATTAACTGTTCATATAAGTGTGGGTTTATTTCTATGTTCTCAATTATATTCCATTGGTCTATGTGCTTTTCTTCTGTTTCCATGCAATAATTCTGTATTATAGTTTGAAGGCTGCAGTCAGTTGTATTCACATCCCCAATATATCATATATCTGTTTTGTTATAGTTAGAATGCTTAGCAAAATTCAACTATAGAAAACAGTACTGTTACCTCCCATCACCATGCTATCCATTAGATTTTCAAAACTTACTCGTCTTGTGCAGAATGTTTGCTTTCAAAGTTGTGGGGATTTGACCAATTCCTCTCACCTCTCTCAAATCTTTGATGTTGATCCTCAGACCATTCTATTTACAATCACTACCCTATCCTTCAACAATTCTCATGCCCCTTTACCAGGGCTGCTTTTCCTATCTTTCAATAGCACTTACCTACATATTATTTTGTTATCTATATTAACTTAGTTTCTGTACCCCCTTCTTAGGATATAAATTCCAAGAAGGATGACATTTTTATCAATCTTGTTACCTTAATATTGCAAAACTTGAAATCTTTCCTGTTTCCACATTATATACTTAGTAAACATTTTTGAACACTGAATGAGTGAATACATTTCTAAACTTTATACTTACCTTCAAACCTGGAAATCCCTCTAATCCTGGCAACCCCATTGCACCAGGTTCTCCCTGTTAAATATGAACATATGAAATAAAAGAACAAAGATCAAAAAAGGTTTGAAGCACTGGAATCAAAAGCAAAGATACTTTTTGCTTAAAAAATATTTCTTCAAACACTATAGAGGAGCAAATAAATTGTATGCTATATTTTCCAGTATCTGTATCCTTGGACTTAGTGTTCTAAAATATTTAAGAATAAAGCTGTATTCCATGAGTTTAAATTTTTTTTGCCACTCTTTTTGGAGTTTTCTATTTATTATATTTTGTTCTGATTAAGAATTGAATCTAGTTTAAAAAAAAAGAAGTCAAAATAAATCCTAATTAGTGATAACTCCAATTTCTATTACGAATAGGAAAAATGTTAAACTATAAGAAAGTCTGACAATTGTGATGTTCTTAAGACTTCTAGATTAGCAGGCTAAATTCTTTAGAAGTAGATGAAGATGGAGTTCTGAAAGCAAAGTTAGTCATTCGTCAATATTCTCTACAGCTGGACAAGAGGTTGGGTATAGCAGAAAAATCTCCAATGACTCTGAAAATTATTGCTCGAGTTGATGGCTTGCTCACTAAGACAGGTATTTCCATTAAAAAAAACAACCACCCAAAAAACCTTTGACATAGTCTGATCTTTAGTTCCAGGTAAGCTGGAGCCTGTACATCCTCAAGGAAGACATTGAGGCAAGTTGTGGTAAAGGAAGTTGCTAACTTCGAACAAATAAACATTAGAACTTCTATATCAAGATAAAGTGAGTAGTTTTTTGATAGTTCCCTGTTAATGAGCTATTATTAAGAGCAAATATTTTCTTAGGACATATAATTAGATAAGAAAGAGAGCTCCAAATATAGTTCCCTGTAAATGTGTTTTTATATCCATAATTCTAATTTACTTAAAAATTAATCACCAAGGCTTGAAGTGCCATTATTATTTATGCTATAGTCCTTATTCCAGAAATACTTAATTGGTTATATATGACTTGATACTTTTTATGCTCCAGAAATCCTTTTAAATGTTGACTAATAAGCTGTCGATCAAATAAAGAACTACTTAGAGTCTATTCTCATTAAAATTCTGTAACAAAGTCCCTGGGGTATTGACATAGGAAGTAATTTCTATGTTTCTTTCATTTGTATTCTCAACAATACTTAAAACAGAGGAAGATAATCAACTGATACTTTGTAGAGCTAAGAAATATTAAGCTTAATTTCTTAAATTCTACCAAATCTGTCCATATTTTTGTTACCCAATGTCCAATTTAAATGAATTATAATTTTATTTTAATAATTCTTTATCATATTAACTTACAGTTTTGTTAATGAAAAACATGAAAGTATTCACAAAATCAGTAGAAGCCAAGATGCTTCTATGTATGGGTGTATGAAAGGAAATGAACAGGAGGAAATTTTTACCAATAAGATGAAAGAAAACTAAAATTAGAATGAGGTGTATGGAAGGTGAAACCATTAAAATGATTATAGGTAAAGAAAGGGCAGTATGAGTAGTGAAACAAAGGAATTTAGAAATTGCAAATTGGGATCAGAAAATGGTACTAAGCCATTGAAACCAAACTTTCAGGGGAAACAAACTGACTTTTAATATACATTGGTTGTCTAATAACAGAAAATAAGCTCTTTAATGCATTACCTTTAAGAAAATATTTAGATGTGAAAATACTACTTTTTATTACTTGTACGTTCTCATTTAAAATTTATTCATCTAGTTTTATTAAACTCAACTGTAATGATAGGGCCTTACATTTTTTTTAACATGGCATGGAAAGTGGTTTGTAAGTTTATTTTAGCTTCAGGTATATCTGAGTTTTAAGTATCTACCCACATGTTAAAAGAATATAGAAATGAAATATGAAGGATGAAGCATATGCTTGAAAAGGACATGACAAGAAAAGTTGCCAAGGAATTAAGGGAGTCTAATTGAACCTGGCAGAACTTGCACAATGAAGCTCCATGTCTGAGAAGGACGCTTGAGAACAATTTTCCTTCTTTGGGTAGCTGGAGGACATGATCTCATTTCATGCTGAGTGTTTTATTCTCCTGATACATTACTCTTAATAAGCAAGTTTATGACAGCACACCACATCTCCTACCGAACAACTGCCTAAGACATTCAAAGCAAATAAATAGCTTCTTTCTTTTTGTCAAGGAGATAGCTGACATATTAAGGAATTTCTTTCTAGTAGGTATTTCTCTTCTCCAATGTACTTATCATTGAATCAATCATCAAAATAGTTCTATTAGGAGGAAATGTCCCATTTATCAGGAGCTTTACACATGTTTTCCTCCATCACATGGTGATTTTTAAAACATACTTATGAAAGAGATGAAGGTCAAGGTCATTGACATTAGAACTGATGCATGCTAAAAATGAAGAACACACCACTGGCATATCTTTGGTGACCTGCCTGCTGCTTCCAACAGGCTATCAGATGAACATGTAGGGCAGGCCATGTTTGCCTGTTGTTTTCCTTTCAAGCTCTCGTAAAGGCCTATTTTCCAAATGTCTTAGAACAGAGAATATACATACCACTGGACCAGGATCGCCTTTTGGGCCCTACAAAAAGACATGAAAAAACATTAAAAAAAATAACTGAAGCACAATCAAAAAGTGTGAAGCATTTCTCCCTGATTTTCTTTAATACACACAATATTTTTTGCAAATGTTTTTGTATCTTTGGCCATTGCCAGCATTTGAAGAATACAATGTCAGAACTTCCATGACAGTGACTGCTTAGGCACTGACTTAGTTCTGAGCTTTACAATGAAAAAGCAACATTACTATACACAATGCTTTCCTTTTATTTTGGCGGTGAAAATTTTCTCAACTTTATTACAAATTTGCAATGTGTGTGTGTGTGTTTTTTTTTTTTACTAACTTAGGAGTTTTTTTTTTTTAAATTGTGGCTATTAAGCTAAAGTGACAAAATCTGTACTCACAGGGGGTCCTGGGGGACCTGGATAACTGGGGACAGTCACACCTCCCTTCAAAAAATTAAAGAAAATGGTGATAAGAACTTATCCACAACTGGAAAATGATCTTATATAATTACAAAAACAAATACCTGGATTTTATATAAACTGCTCATTCCATTTCCTTCATTGAATGGCACACCCTTAGGAAAGAAGTGAGATATAGAATTATTATTTTAGGTTAATAGTTAGCATTTTTATCTTTTTTTTTATCAAACAATGTTTTCCTATTTATTTCAGAAAATGAATTTAATGCTACAACTAAAATAATCCAATGTTTCCAACTTGGGCTTTTCAAAAGCAAATGTAGGCAAAAATGATAAGGAGTGTGAGCTGTATCTAGAGTACACAGACACTTTCAATGGAGGTGTGATTAATGTACAGGTTTGACAGATGAGACACTAATGCATTCAGAGGAAAATATTATTTGCTCATTAAAATTCAGTATCTGAATTGCCAATTTATGCTAACTGTTTACAGCCTGCTGACCTGCAGGCTGTAACGTGGTTGTGCTGATGAAGATGTGACTAGGGAACAATTTGGCTACTGAAAAGCAATTTTTTTCCATAGTCTTTTCATACCAAATAGAAAATTAACATAAATGAGGGAGATGATGTACTAGCAACCCTGTGTGGATGTTTCCACAAAAACGTATTCTTTAGAACAATAGAGAACAAGAGCATCCTAATAAAACTGACCTGTGAATGGAAAGTCCTAGAGTAACTAACACAAACTAATTTGAATCTTCAGAAGTCAGACATTTGGACATTCAGGACACCACTATATATAAAAATTTCGGTAGGATGTTTCATCCTTAAAAAATTACTATTGAATTAGTAATCAAATGTGCATTTTCCTTTTTTATGATTTCCATATTTCAATTGCAAAGTTGAGGAGGCCATCAATCATTTTATTGTTTTTAGACTATGGTGGCCACTGTTCCTCAGTGAACGTGTTTGTCATGCATCCCCAAAATATTAGTGATGAGGGTAAAATATTCCATCATTTATTACTCTATCATTTCATCCATTCATTTGACAGTTTTTGAATGCCAATTTTAGTGTGTTAAGTCCTAGGGAGAAAAGACTACATTTGTCTGAGGTTTCTCAGAGAAGACAACATTTAATCTGTGTGTTGAAGAACAAATAGTCTCAGAGAATATTCAGGCCTCAAAAGATTTCATAAGTCCACTGTAAAATACAGGTTCCTTTCCTAAGTTCATGTTCTGAATTTGTTGCTCTGTTCACTGGGGAGGGAGTGCACTGTAGGTTTGTGCCCCCAAAACTTTTTGTTCTGCTTCCTTGTACAGAAAGGGAGGAGGTAAGTAAATAAAGAACAGGCTTGGGAAAATAGAATGCAAATCTCTTCATTTAATTGTACAAAGCACACCAACTGCATTACAGACTGATAATATATCTGTGTTGTCTTTAGAATGTCACAGCTGAATTTTGCCCCCTTCTCCAGTCAGTGTGGTTCCTTAAACCATTCCTGAGTTAAGGCAGAAAATGAAGTTTGAATTGAATCAAAGCTCTGCTGTGATTCGAGCAAGGCTCCACATGAGGGCACACTTGCTACAGAGAGAAGCACCTCTTTCCAAGATGTCTCTTGTAAGTGCACCTCTGTTTCGACCATGTGCAGAAAAGCATGCATTTCACTAGGTGCAAGATAAACAGAATTTTCTGTGTCTCAGACATTATGGATAGTAATGAACAAATAAAATAATACCAGATTTTCTACCAACTTGCATTTCTGGGTGGGATTTCTTTCTTTTTCCTCTAGCAGTTCCTTTCCTGATTCTGTGAATGAGACTTAATGACTTTCCCAGGGCCCCCTGGCAGGAAGTGGAGAGTCCAGTCTGGGTATACACCCTGGTCTCCTGACTCCATATTAGGGAGAGGAAGTGGGTACAAATCCTTATCTGAATGGAAATGGGGTACAGGAAGGTAACTTCAAACTTGCACCATCATTTATATTTACACATAAAATTCAGAAGATTTTTACTTTTAAGAACATCTAAATGTAGTCTGACCTCTAAGTTAGTAGTCTTAAGTGGAAACATGAATATCAGATGTAAATAAGCGGCAACTCACAGGTGGTCCGGGTGGTCCAGGTTGCCCAGGAGGCCCTTCGCTGCCCTGCAAAGGATATACAAACCAAAATCAATTGCCTAGGTACTTCTTCTCCAGGTTTACGAACCAGACTGTGCTTCTAGAGAGCCATATTCTGAAATCAATAAGACTTGTCATTTTATTTCAGTTTTGCAAAGTCTTATTCAGCTTGGCTCTCTCCATCACCTGGGAAAATACATTTTTAGACCACAGGCACAGTTAATGCTTTTTCCACACCCATTCAGATTTTCACCATGTGAGCCCCAGGTATGAAGTTTATTTTTAGATGGAACCAGACAACCCAGGTGATTTGGTCTTGTACTTCAAATGCAGGTGGGGGAATGCTCTCTCTGTGGAGGTATAGAGCAGAGTTCTTGTCAGCAGGGGACTGCCTCTGAGTAGGGTTGTTGGGGTTAACCTCACTTTTAACCTCACTGTCACCACCAGAGGGTGGGCCCAAAGAATCAGAACAGAGAATAAAATCACAACCTGTGTTTTATCGGCAGGAAGAGAAATTTCTTACACTTCTTAAGTTAATATCAGACTCTATAATCAAATCAGGCACATCCACTGAGTGAAAGTGACAGTGCACAACACTGTTTAAGGGAAATGTTCTCTATAATTTAAACAACTTCAGATGTTCTGTGTATATAAGAAACAGACTGAAAATGGAATTAGTGAAAAATTCGAGTTAACTTTAAAACTGGATTTCACTCCTCTTTTTTTTAAAACATGAGTGTTTTTAGGTCCCTAATAAGCATAGGTAGTGTCATCCTGTTGGTGCCTTTAGCCAGTTCTTTCTGTAATTGTGTTTATCTTTTATGATAACAGCCTTATAGAATCATCTAAGTTCCTCAATATCAGGGGCAATGGCAAGAAATGCTTAGTTAAAAAAAGCAACAGAAAGTAAACTTCCTATTTACAACACTCAGGAATATTGAGGGATTTTAGTTCATTTCCCATAAATTTGATGTAGGATTTCATTCCAATCTTCCCATTTTTTCAGTATCAGAAATTTTGGCTTTTATATTTATCAGTAAAAGCAAACTGTTAAGTTATTCTTGCTATGTGTCTGCCTGAGAATGAGTGACAATGAGTATATTGTATCTTTCCCCAAAATACTGTCATGGGGGTTCCTTATCCAAGACATGTTGTATCATGCTGACTGTGGCTGTGTTCTTGAGAGAATTATGTCATAGTTCTCATGAACCAATAAACAAGGAAAAATATGTGCCTGTTGAAAAGACCTTTCTCCCCTCGGCACAATTAAAAGTCATATTTTCATCCTTGATGGTGCCCCAAAGCTCATCACAGAGTGGAATTCACATTAACTTCAAAAGCAAATCTCTGATTGAATAATTTCCATAGAGAACAGAGGAAAAAGGCTGGCAGAGTTTGGCAAGCTCCTCGGGACACTATCAGAAAAATATGTGCTGAGACTATCTAGAATAAGCACATTGTTTCCTTGCAAACTTGAGTGGATTCCTTGATCCTTAATGCCATTATGTTCCACTTTTGTCAGTTCAGGCTGGAAGTCACTTGAGTGGCTCATGTAGACCTTGATTTTCAGTTCTAATTTGAGCAGTTTGTATTATTTCACTTGCAAACTCTGCATTTAGATAAAGGGTCAATTTGGGTGCTAGATTGGGTAAAGATACAAAGTCCTTTGCTATTCCAGTTTCATTGCTGGTCCTCCATTCTGACATTTGCAATTCATTTGTCTAGTAAACTGAATTCCCCAGAAAACACACTGTGGTTCCTTAGTGAATTGCCCCTATGGCCCTCGGAGGATACATCTTCCCAGATTTTCTCACAAGACCTTGGGTTACTGGAATCTTGGTCCTGTTAGCCCAGATGCTCTCTGGAGTCATGGCAGCTTTAACTGAACTCCCTGATATAACACGTTATTTGCATCTCTTTAGAAGTGTCTTTTGACTCCATCTTTCTAATAGCTCTGTGCCCAGAATGCTAAGCCCAGCTTGGACTTTTTATATATAGCATCCGTATTCTATTCATCCTTGCTCTTAGGAACTTATCTCTTGTACTCAGACCAATTTTTGGATCTATGTCCTTCTAATTCCACTAGCCAAACAGTTGTTCTTAGACAGTACTCCTACTCCATCTTCTTGGCATGATTTTATGGCTCTCTTTATAAATGTTGTCATCCTGCCCTTCTCCGAACCCCCAATTCTGACACTATACCTTGTCACCTTTTGCTCCAGAGGGACCAGGATGTCCAGTTCTTCCCAACAAACCCTGTGAAACACAAAACTAAGTTTATTAAGGAAATAATGAAATCACCAAAAGGTATTGGAAGTTGGTTGTTAAAACGGATAGTTTTGAAGGTCATTTGATCCTAATTAAATCAGTCCTACAAGCTTACATTTCTTCAGGCTGATACAGCAGCTGTATCCTGCTGATAAGCCCTTGCAAGGGTAAAATTTGTATTTGTGGTCGCTTTTTCACCTCGGCCAACCACATTTAATGACCTTAATTGGAACCTTTTGATACATTTAAGAATTTAGCCTTGCTGTTTAAAGGGCAATTTACATAACATTATGCCTTCCTAAATGAGCTATAATTTTGGTAGTGATCAACATTTTAAATACTGTAAGACAGGGAAGAATTAACAATGTGCATATTGAGTTATGTGATCTACATTTTACCAGTGGAAAATAAAATTTAATTTAAAATCATCTTTAGAATACAGTTAGCTATAGTTTCCATGGTTCTTTTCATGACTCTTTCTCTTTTAATTTTAGTGTACAATTTGAAGATAGGTTTGCTCTGCAAGTGGTGAAAGTAAAAATGATAAAATTTTAATTACAGTGAATCCATAATTCAAAATATTAAGGAACATGATTATATTTTACTGTGTGGTAAATAGTATTTGCATGGGAACTCTAAGAAGAGGAGAATTAGAGAAATTGAGACTAAATAGGGTTGCTAGATTTAGCAAATAAAAATACAATGTTTGGGACAAACATATGCTACAAAATTATTTGTTTCTATAAAATTCAAGTTTAACTGCATGTTCTATATTATAACTGGTAACTCTAGATTTGAGCACCACTTGAATGAAAGATAGGGCTTAGCAGATAGGAAAGGAAGTGATTATGATTTATGAAAACATGATAACCAAAGCCCCAAAGACCAGGATGTTGTATTGAGGGGTGGTGCAAAAAAATGTGCTGACTAAAGTAAAAAGTGTTTTAATTCATATATAGTGATAAAAAGGCATCAAATCTGATCATCCTTACCTATTTTTCCCTTCTGGAAAATAAACTCAGTTTATGGTACTTAAGAAAAAATGAGAGCATGACTATCTGATATCTCTTCCAAAGGGTAACACCAAATATATGTATAACTAAAAACAACAGGATGTTCTTTTACATCAAACTTTTATTCAAATAAACTACCTTAATCACAGAGAGCCATTTGTTTTAGGAAAACTCTGATGACAAGTGGCCAAGATCCTGGGTAGCCTTATGCAATCATAAATGAAAATTTGAAAGGTTGAATGAAGGCCCATTTCTAGGCAATAGCTGAACAATTAACATAGAGACACAGAGACAAAAAGCATCAAGGAATACTAGTTCCCTTTGCCTCAGTCCAACAGGTATGAACTTTGAGTGGAACAGCATTTCCAAATACTTACTGGGGGTCCAGTTGGGCCTGGTACACCAGGAAAACCTGGAATTCCTTGAATACCCTAGAAAAGAAAGCTTCTATCATAAAGCTTCTTCTATCATTGGAAATAAAGCATTTATATTAATCAAATATCTTCACTACTGAAAATTAAACACCTATTTTGGTTAATTGAAAACCACAATATAGTTCTTATACAGATCTCCATTTGGAAAGACTGAGGATGGTGAACTAACTTGCCATGACATGGAATCTATAACAAACAAATGTATTGTATTTGGTGACTCACAGAGGATTTCTGATATCATAGTCACCCAACAACAATAACATCACTGAGAATCCAGCTCTACTAAAGTATGGAAATACAAATCTCAGATTGGCAGAATGCCAGCAAAGAAATATGTGATTACACTGGTGCTTCATTCCACTAGTGAAAAAATGGAATATGTTTCATGATATAATATTTAGTTTAGCTAGTCAGTTCATAATAAGAAGAAATTTGGCTCACCAGTGAATTTAAATTTGGAAACCTCTAATGGTTTAAACATAAAAATGAATGGATTTCCTTTCCCTTCCCTTCACTCTTTGGTTTTGTACAATAATGCTGATTATACTGGATGGGGTTTAAGATGCAGAGACTTACATATTCAAGGAAGAATTGGCAAGATTAACTGGTAGTGTAATTATTTGTGCTCATTTAAAAGTTTGCTATTAAATAAATTACATAAAATCCATAATATGAAATATTTTACAACTATTAAAATGTTTCAGAAAATTGTTGGGTAACATGAAAAAATAAGTTATGAAATGTTACACAGAGTAGGGGGCCACACTACTTAAAATTATAAAGGCACTTCATTATGAGAGATAAGAACTTAAACATTGTGTTTTAGAATTCTAAGTTTCCAGAACTTTTATAAGGGTAAAAGTGCTCATAGTGGATATGCTGTAACACTCTCCACAGCACCTAAGACAGCAACTTCAACAACTATTTCTAGTAAAACAGGATATTCCCACCACAGGGGGTAAATAGACCAGCTGCATATGCACTCAGGTCAGATTTTTCCACCAACTGAATTTTCTATAAAGTTGGGGAAATTTTTGAGGTTTTGTAGAGGCCTTTGAACTTTGGAATTGTGGATGAGGGGGTTCATATTATAATACAAAGATTATTAAATAGTCTTCCCTGGCCAATACAGAGATACATTTCTGTGTATTCCTCAATTATTCTGAAATAAAGTTCTATAATCAGAAAAATATATACCCCTTTGCTATTTTAGATAAACTTAAGACATTACACGTCAAATACTAGACTGAATGGCTCCATTCTTTCAGGATTTAATTTTTTTTACCAAGTAATGATTTTTGTATTTAACAATTCATTGTTATAATGAAATTGTTTACTATGATGAAATATGCATATATATATAGTCAATAGTAGGTGAAGTGGCCATGGTAAAATGACCTCATCCATATTCACTAGAGTTCTGCAGGAACAAGATCAGGGTTCTGCAGAATCAAGGTCTCTGCCTTGATGGGATTAAGCATCAAGCATGGCCAGGCTTGTCCATCTAATATTAGTTCAGATTTCTTCATGTAATGCAATGGGAAGAAAAGTTGAGAATCTCTTTGTACATGCTGGAATTTTTCATGCAATAATAGTCTTGGTCAAAATTTTATGAATACTTAAAAGGATAAAAGGTTAAAAGAAAAGAGACAGCCTTTACGGTGATGTCCTCACTGGCAATACTGTGTTTGTGTAGATAGTACACACTACCATATTGTATTGTCTCTCCCCACCCCCACCACCATCATTAACTTGTTTATGGGTTTATAATTGGAAAAGAAACAAATTTCCTTTGGGAATGGCACCTCTAAATGTCTGGATATTATAAATGTTATATCACAAATTGCTTTATCTAGAAATGCCCACATTTCCATAAAATTCTCTCTATATGTACATGGATAAAAGATGCATGTACATAGATAAAAGATGCATGTACATGTGTATTCGTTTTTTCTACTTTTAGTTCAACACAGAATCAGTCTAGAGATGCTGAGTGAGTCTTTCAGTAGTCTAATTTATAAGCATGGGACTCATTAACCTTTGATGACCACATTAAACTTTAAAATAAACCTCAGTCCATAAATAAAAAAAAAATCATTCTCAGCAGTCTTTCTGAACAAGCTGAAATTTTGTAGTAAGGGTAAAAGTTACCATGGATGCATAAAGGGCAATAAGATAATTTTAGAAGACAAGATGGTCATTAAAGAAGATAAATACTATTAAGGAGAAGGACAGTCAATTTAGCATATAGTACCAAACTAAAATACAAATTAAAATTTATTGCATAGATATTTAGGGATCATTAGAACCTAAGTTCTTTTCCTGCATTGACGTTTCAATTTTTTTAGTTCTATCTCAGTTGCTACCAAGAATATTTATTTTTCCATTGCTCTAATTTATGATTGGCAATATTTTTCATGTCCTATTTATTAATTATTATCCTGAAATATTATAGAATGAACTGCATTCCAAGCAAGAATTCACTCTGAGAAGTGAATATGTGTTCTATTAGTTTTTTACAAATGGTTATTTTGAGTTGTGAAACATTTACAAAAATCATAGAAGATAGCATCACTGTTTTGAGAACAATAACAAACAGGCAACTCCTTTCTCTTAAGTTTCCAATCAGATTAAAATGAAGGCATAATAATTAGAAGTCCTGAAAGAGATGGGGTGTCACTCTATCTCTTTTTTTTTACCATTAACAGTAGAACAGATAGCTGAGATTTTGTGCAATTAGACATTACATATTAAAAGTTTAGTTAATTGGCCAATTGGAAATGCACATGCTGTGGTCAAAGTTTCACTCACTTAAAGAAGTCAAAATATATTTTGAGGTACTATCTGAGTTCAAATAGAAGACAAGATGATATTTACTATTTCCCATCTGTCTGAGGCTGCATTGACTTCAGGTCTACCTGAGAAACTACTCATACTATTCATGTCATGTGAAGAAATTTAGAAGACTCTCTTTTTGAGCAGCTCTAATTCTCCATATAATAAGAGTGTTGGGCACAATTTTGTGTACATTGTATTAAAGAATCCACACTTAAGAAAAAGCACACTAAAGTGGAGGAATAATAACAATGGATTGCTGTTTTCTAAAGGAATAAATAAAAATTAACTTCTCATAAATTTAACTTAATCACTTATAAACAACCTGAATTCCAATTATTTCTTGATCTTTTTGTCATTACCTTCTCAATCACCTCTAAAGCCTACCTCTTGAATCCAGGAAGTTAAAACTGCTAGACTATTAAAATTAAATATTGTACATGGAGCCTAGTGAACTTTGCTATGGAAAATGAAGAGTCAAAACCTCAACCACTCTTATTTATTGAAAAAAAAAATACCTTTACTGTCTTATTTATGAATAAAAATAAATACTAAATTTCTCTATTCTTTAATTTTTAACTTGGGAAAAAGTCAATATCACAGTTTTCCAAAATAAAATCAATGTTAATTAAAAACCATAACATGATGACAATTTATAATGTGAAATGTAACTAACTCAAAAAATGGATCTACTTTAAACCATTATGATTTTCTACACTAACATCAAGGTTAATAAATGCCAGATGGCTTACTTACTTTCATTAAGAATTATTAGTATCAAAACTGCTTAAACTAACAACAATTCATCATCCTAATTGGTTTTCCTGAGAGTTAATGTGAATTATGCAGGAAAAGAATGATACCCTGAGCATCATCATGGCTTAGAGTCAGAAAATTATGCCATCACCTCAAAAGCAAATTTGACTTTGAACCTTAGTCTAGAATTGGGCAGCCAAACTAACCTAGTCCAATTAGACCTGTTTCATAATTTTTTTTCTCCCAAGAGTTTGAAAGTTGAGCAAAGACACAAACTAACCAAGGTCACAGAAGTTGGGACTATCACAGTAACGTCTCAGGAAAGTTGTGCTGAATTTTGGACCTGCTCTTATCCCTTGGCTGTATTCTATCATTCCTTTCAATTTATTTTTGGATACTTTTGAATTTTTTTCAGTATATCTCTCCTTTTTCTCTTGCTTTTATCTTTAGAGAGCTGAGATTATTATCTGCTACAGGAGAACAAAAAATAGTAATGATATGTTAACTTTGTACTTTAATTTCTTTATCTCATAAACTGGGCCACTGGTAATAAACATTAACATAATATTATTTAAAATGTGTTAAAGTTTGAAAAGATCTACCTAAGTCTTTATGTTTATTTGACTTAGTATTAAATATGAGCTCCAAAAAAACTGATGCTTTCTCTTTGTTTATTCAAGTAAGTGATAAGATTCTATTATCAGAGGAATGTCTTTTACCTCATCACCTTTCTCTCCAGGTATCCCAGGATAGCCCCGTTCTCCTTTGCTTCCCTGAAAAGACAATTACACTCTATTATTTTGTCATCTTTGGAAGAACAAAAGTATCTCTTCTCAGAAGCAAGCAATTTGTATGGACTCAAGGAATGAATAAATGACAGCATTTGAAAATGGCCTTGCACTTTTTTTTTTTTTTTTTTTGACAATAAAGTGTTTCCTTTTTTTTCACACACATGAGAATGGGAGATATTTCCTTACCTTTGGTCCTTCTCTGCCTGGGATTCCTGCAGGACCCCGTGGTCCAATATCACCCTAGAGACCAGAGGAGTAACAGACCTGAATAGAAGCACCACATGTAACCTGCAGGGCCCACTGGTATTCAGTCCTCTCCTTACCTTCGTGGATGTAGAATCATACTTTCCAGGCTCACCAATGCTTCCTTCTTCTCCTTTGTTGCTTTTCAGTCCAGGGACACTGGCTTGGCAATTGCCACAGAAGTTCTAGTGACCACAGAGATAAAGTTACTGAGAGTCCTGAAAGTAATTTCTGAAAGTGAGGTTTGATTCACTTAACTTTTTTTTTTAAATTAAAGTAACAGTGCATCATAATATATGTTTCAGGTGTGCATCATTAAAAAAAATCATGTTTATATTATATAAAGTTCACTACTAAAAGTTCAATTCTATCCTTTACCATCAATAGACCACTTTATCCTCATTTACCTACCTTTCTTTCCCCTTCCCTCCAGTAGCCACTAGTTTTTCTTATAGTCTAAAAATTTGTTTCATTTATTCATCCATTTGTTTTCTCTATATGTCATATATGAGTGAAATTATATTGTTTGCCTTTATCCATTTAACTTATTTCACTAAGTATAACATCCTCTAGGTTTATTCATGTTGTTCAAATAACATAATTTCATCTTATATTGTTTATAGCTGAGTAGTATTTTAGTGTATAAATGTTACATTTTCTTGATGACCTTTGAAATTTTATTTGAATCTTTGTCATAGATAAGCAATATAGCCATTACTATGTCACTCCATTTCAGAAACTTATTTTAATTTGAAAGACTATTTTTGACTAGGTGAAAACTATGAAGCTAACAATAATTATGATATTGGTGAGCTTCTATTTAAAAGCCTGCATAAGGTAACATTTAAATCAAAGATCCCAAATAAATAAGGAAAATATAACATAAATCAAGAATACAGAGTTTTGATTGCTGAGCAGAACATTTAAAAAGGAAAGTGGTAATAAAATTTGAAATAACCAATAAAATTACAGAGCTCATGCAATAAAAAAAGAAGAAGAACACAAGGAACTATAGTGATGGCTCAGGGGTACAGTGATGGGGGAATTTTACAATGATGCAAAAGATATAAATAAAAAATAAATATAAAAAAGAAAGAAAAAGTAATGAAAAAGGATGACTCCTTTTGAGAGCAAAATTAGTTTGAGAACCCTACATACAGTTGACTAACATTTTATTGTCAGTGGATGCACACATGTGTGAATAATTACTTCAGTGTCTTGGACTTGACTTCGATGTCAAATCCAAGTGCAGATAGGAAATCTAAGTGGAATTACCTTTCCGTTCCCTACTCTGTAACCTTTAGCTGTTCTGGAAAGGCTTGAATTTAAGTGTCTGAGCTCACAAGATAAACTTCTTATCACATTGCTGAAGGAAAGCTGTCTGAAGAGCCTCATAAAGGCTTTAAAAAAAATAAATCGTTATAGAATATGATCAGGAAAGGCACAGAATAGGGACTACTGAGTAGGAGAGACAGTTTAATTTTAAAGTTGACAAAAGGCAGGACAATATTCTTCCATCCTTTTTACCCAAGGGAAGATTCTATACATGAAAAAAGGAACTTAAACTCCCTAATGGTAAGAAGTTGGCAAGAAAGCCCAGGGCTATTCAAGTTCAATATTTTGACCCAGTGAATATCAGCATCAATCTGATTGCAAAAATACGCTTCCTGGAAGACTAATTTTACATGGTATTGAAGAATTTCTAAGGCAATTTGTCTAAAAAGTGCTGAGTTAAAGAGTTTTCTTGATGATCTTTCTTGGAATTGGAACATATCAAAGGGAAGTAGAGTGTGCAATGCCTTCCAGACTAATTCTATAACCGGGGTCTTTTTTCTAGAGCTAATGTGTTGGTAGAGGAATTAAAAAAATACACTATAGGGTCTCCCTGGTGGCCTAGTGCTATCACTGCTGTGGCCTGAGTTTGATCCCCAGCCGGGAGGTGACCCACATGTCGCGGCGGACCTCTCCTGTCTCTCCCACTGGAGCCCTCAGCAGTGTACTTCAGCAGCTCTACCTGTTCTGCTTCCCACTCTGTCTCTGGTGAATCTTCTCACCCCCCTTGAGGCTCTGGCCTACAGTTCTTCTACACAAAAAATAAAAAATACATATATAATTATAGAACCATTAGTTATAACAGTTATATATAATATTAGTTATAATATAGATATATAATAATATCTATGAAGACAAGAGATTGCCTGTGGTTTCAAGAACTAAAAACAGTTCCATATTTCAAAAAAAAGTATAAAAAGAATAAATGTCTATATACAAATATGTGTGTGTGTGTGTGTGTATACACACACACACACACATATATATAAATGTGGCAGACCAATACAGAACAAAACTTGGCATGACACTACATGGCAACATTTTAGAATGACTTGTTCAACTGATTGTTTTAATAAAACAAAAAAATGATAATCTTTTTGACTCAGTAGAATTTTCTAAGAGTAACTTCTAAAAAAATGACCTCATTTTCTTTATGTTAGGGTCAACAGAATGGTAAATTAAGGAAACTGGATTTATAAAGGTCCTTGAGATAAAGGATTTAAGGTTTTATGGAGGGAATAAAGATGCATCAATAATTAGCCAACATAAATCTCATTCAAAGAGAGATTGATTCACAGATTAACCTGAAGGAAGGTCTTTGAAGGGATCTCCTTTAGGTCTGAATTGTGTCAGTATTTTTTTCAAAACTTCAAAGATATTTTTGAAAGCACAAAACAGGATGACTAAGTTTGCTAAAGACTCAAGACAGAGAAGGAGAATTAATGTGTTAGTAATAAGATCAGGCTCTAATATCACATTAATGTTTTGGTGTAACAGAGTCATTGCCCAATTTAAATTCCTGTGTGTAGCCTTTGATTCGGGGAACTACAGGTGTTCCCCTTCTATTAAAAGCAGTTTGGTGGGACTATTATGTGTAATTGTGTCTGTTCTCCTGGGACACAGAGTCTTAGTGAGATGATTCAAGGACTAGAACAACAGTGGAGCACGTTCACTAGAGGAATGCTGCCCTGGAGAAATTATCTATTCTACTTCTGGGACACCTGGCCCACTGGTTCCTCTCCCTATTAGAGCTGATTCACAGCCTTTTTGTCTTTGAATAGGCTGTTTTGTCTATTCTATCAGGATTAATTTTTTTGTTTAAGTGTATAAACTTTTTATTTTTATATAATCCCAAGGAACATGTAACTCCTGTAACTGCCTTTTTTTAACACTGCTGCTCATGGAAAGAACCTAAGAGTGATTATCGTAAGACCTGTGTCAATGTTATACTTACTTGTGATGACTGAGCAAGATACTTAACTACTTGCACTTCAGACCCTTGTCTATAAAATGGCTATACTATCACCCACAGCCTTCACTCACAGAATTGCTGTGAAGATGAAGTGAGTTGATAAAAGTAAAGCAGTAAGTGGTATAGGTACTTGTAACTTAAAAGTTTAAAATCCTCCTGACACTCCTTATACATATTCTCCTCTGACATATATTGGCTTTTGAAGTTATTAAAAACCATTATAATGTATATTTATATTTAAATTCAGACTTACATATCTACTTATTAACACTTTAATCATCTATCAAACACATATACTAGAATTCTTGATTTTTAAAAAAATTCAATTCAGTAAATATTCCTGCTTCCTGACTATTATGCAAATCTTTGAGCAAACTGCTGGGCTAAATGCTAGGAATGTAAAAGAAAATACATAAAGACATGTGCACATGTCATGCGTGTATACACATACACATCATATACATACACTCTCCATTCATATATTGATGGAGAAAGCACAGAAAGTTTGAGAATGAAGTGAAAGGACAGATTTTTATCTGGATTCACTCAATCTCAGTGAATCTTGAAGAAACATACAAATTCATAACTTTACACAGATTCTAGTATTATTTCCCCCCATCGGCTTAACAAATTAAGTATAGGTAAGTAACTGAGGGAAAAAATAAGTAGCTATGTTAATTCCCTCTTGATGGATACTAAGTAGAGAAATTCTTATTTAACAGAGTAACAGGTCTTAGGCCAATTGTCAGCTTTGGGATTTACAGTTCACTTTGTAAAATCCTATGACATCAAAAGTCATACTTGCAAGCTAGCTGTTTATTGAGCAGCACTGGCTGGTGTTCATCCTGGGGTTGGCCAGGGTATATTCAGTAAGGTTTCACAGTGGAGAGCCAGGGTGGGTCAACACCCATGGAGAGAGAACTGTTTTTCCAGAAGAGAGCATGATAAACTCAAGGGCATCAATGACATCATTTCGTCCCTGTAGCTCATCTCAGAATTGCTATTCTCCCACTCTCTTCCTTCATACCCACAATGAGAGGAAGATAAAGAAGAGAGCGGAGGGATTAGTATAAATGGCATAACATTTATAAAGAAATATGTTCCATTTTCTGCTTAAATAGGTTCTGCCATTTAAAAACTGAATTTTAGTTCAGGATATGCAATTAGCTCAATTTCTGGAGAAGATTTCCTTTTTATTTTTGCTGGAAATTAACACAGAATTTCTTGCATAGCAACAGAGTACCTTGAGCAAGGCACCGATGTCACCCAAGAGAGGCAGTGCAATCTGTGGTTAAGGAGAAAAAAAAATACATTCATTTACTTCTCTCTCTATATATATATATGTATGCACACAGTGAAAGACAAACATACAATACAGTGTAGATACTTTTCCTTAAATGCCAGACTGGCTGAAATTTGTTAGGGGGTTTCTAAAAGCCTCACTGTCAGAATGGCTGGCTTACCAGAAGAAATGAGATTTTTGAGAAATATTTACTATTCTTTTACCAAGTATGTGCAAATATGCATATGTCATTGTCTTGAATCTACATCTTGTTTATATTTTCATGACATGGCAACTTTAATGCCAATCCAAACATATTATTGGCTCTAAATAATACACAAAGGGAAATCACTTCTTAAAAAGAAATTATTCCTCTGCCAAGCAAAGTACTAAGCTGATGAGAAACATGAAAAATATAGGATAAGTTTGACTTCAAGTTACTTTTCACTGAAGTTCAAAGGAGTCTAGATATAGCTTAGGTGATGGACAAGACAAGATACTAACAGAAGTCGGCCAGTGTTCTGGCCTCATGTTTTAAAATATCCTTTCAGAGGGATACTATAATCCCAAGTACCATTTTGCAAGATTCCCAGATGTTGCACAAATGATTCCCTCAGCAGTGGGATTAAAATAAGGTCAAATATGCCTCTGCATATAGCTTGTAAAAACACATAAGGCCCAAAGAGTGTGGGAGGTAGAAGGATTTGTGAGGCTTAGAACTGAGGGGCCAGATTTGGATTTTATTATACAAATCTCTTAATACAATGCCATGTACCATATGGACTCTCAAATTATAAGTGCCAATTCTAAGGCTATTTAAAGAGATTTTGTTGTTGCTCAGAACAAGGTTTAACCTAAAATTAAACTTTGGAACACACATTTAGTGCCTAAACACATTTTAAAAGAGCCTACTCAAGTCAGTTTTTGTAATTTAATTAATTCAGGATTTTAGAGCCATAGGATCAATGGATATGTATCATGTTGTAAGTTACCTATAAACTTTCATTTAGAAAAATGAAATTCACTCAGTCACAAGCATTAGAAAGAACAGAAATTGTGGCTATATATTTTAATTCAATTTTCCACAGGATTGAGACATTATATGCCAAGGCTTAGCCTGGGGCAAAATTGTACATCTGAATTATACCCTTAGGAAATAAGTATTCATCACATACAAGAAAATGCTGACGCAGTTTGAATTTTTTTTCTCTCTACAAAATAATGGGGATAAACAAAATCACCAAGCAGTCACTGAGCATTCTAATTACTCTGGACAGTAAAACTTGCTTGGTAGGCTGTTTGACTTCTAGGTGCATTAAAGATACATAAATCAGGCACAGTCTGTCCACATACCGGGTCACCTGGGGGGCCTGGCAGACCTGGATTTCCATCCCTTCCTGGAGCTCCCTGGAAACAAAAGCATCATATTCAAATCTTTGTTCATGCACACAGGTGCAGATTAAGGTGTGTTACAGGGATAGGTGAAGGTAGTCCTTACGTCATTCCCTGGTGTTCCTGGAGTTCCTGGCAACCCAGGGAGACCTCGAGGGCCCTGGGAAATGGAGAAAAATAATTACTTTTGAGGACTTTCAGTAATTTCCTTGAAGCAAGCAAGCTGGAGTTGTTGCACCAAATAACTTAGTTAAGTAGCTCACCTGAATACCTGGCTCTCCAGCTGGTCCTTGGGAGCCCTAAGTAGAATGAGATTCAGTGATTAGAATCCTGGCAGGCATATCCATAAATTGCTAAAGTGAAGTAAAGGGTTAAATACTGTAATTTACTTAGTGGCACAATAGGACTTTCTATCATGCACACTGAGAACTTTGAAAAGTGAGCCAAAACTTTTGGATGGTAGACACTTAACCAGAAGCCTATGCCTACAAATATCAATAGGGCTTTGCTCAGAGACCTGGAATGTCTCAGTCATCACCTTCAATATATAAACAAACAATACAAATTCTATCTGTTCAGAAACTGATGGTCCACAGAGGTGACTAGCACAGGGTTCCTTTCCTTTCTGCTTGTTTCATTGTGTCATTTCTCTAAAGAAATTGCCAAAACCAATCTTCAATGATAGGGCAAAGAAGGCAAACATGAGTTACGTAGAGAATTGGAATTCAGGTTAACTAAAAGGTGGCTGGGTTACCAGTGAGCCTACCCACCTTGGTACTACTACACCACATCACCAAGGACGACTGAATGAGAAGTGGGCAAGCCACAGCAGCAAGGAGCTGGCTTCTCAGCAGCTGACTGCTTTCAGATGTCTCCTTTCATATTTTCAAAAATACATATTCATGTTACTGTTATAGTGAAAGCTACTTGTTGCTCCCTTTCAATGTTGTATCCTTTAGTTATTAAAAACATTTTTTTTGCTTCAACTTTTTTCTCTCCTCCAATGATTTCCTGATCTACATTTTCACTTGTTTGATCTCCCATCATCAATGATTTTTTACATTTTTGTCCTGTAAATCAAACATCGATCATATACAGAGTAAGCACTCACTGTTCATACCTTCTCATGGTAACTTTATTATAAAGCTAATTTCCTATATTTATGCCATTAAAGAAATCATTTATTTCCATACTCTCTTGTTCCAAAGTTTTAAATTTTTTTTAAGATTTATTTATTTGTGCATACAGAACTGGGGTACAGGCCAGAGGCTCAGGGGTGGCGAGAGGCTCCACCAGAGACAGAGTGGGGAGCAGAACAGGCAGATCTAGGAAGTACACTGCTGAGGGGAGCAGCGGGTGGGTCAGGAGAGGTCTGCCACGCCCTGTGGTCACCTCCGGGGCAGGTGGGAATCGAACTCATGCGGAAGTGGCTTTAGATTTTCAGTGCCGTGCTTTAACGCGCTGCTCCATCAGGGAGGGCCCTTAAAATGTTTTTTATAGAAAATAAGTTATCTCATAAGTGTGTATTCTGTGCAAATTATTCAGATACTGCTCTAGACTCTGTGTAGTTAAAACACATTAAAAACTGCCTATTGGGCCCTCCCTGGTGACGCAGCAGGTTAAGCTAAAGCCATTTCCACATGAAGATTCCTGCCTGCCCCGGAGGTGACCACATGGCGTGGCAGACCTCTCCTGGCCTGCCCGCTGCTCCCCTCAGCAGTGTACTTCGTAGATCTGCCTGTTCTGCTCCCCACTCTGTCCCTGGTGAATCCTCTCATCCTCTGCATCTCTGGCCTGTACCCCAGTTCTGTATGAATAAATAAATAAATCTTAAAAAAAAAAACAAACAAAAAACAAAACAAAAAAACCCTATTATTATATATAAAAACCTGCCTAAAAACTGGCCATTAAAAATACTTTCTATCATTTATTTTTCAGATGCTGCTTAAATATTTATTCACTAACTATTACTTGTTATAGTTAAAACAAACAATAATATATAAAATTACAAATTAGTCATTCTTATAATTTACATCATAATTTAAGCATGCATTTATACCTTTCAATATATAGATGAGAACCAAAAATGAATATAAATTTGCTTCTAATCCAAAATTAGTGTATGTGACCAGCATATGTAATAAACAGTGAGTGTTCTCCTTCTTTGTGATTAGTGATGTAACCTCAGTGCCTATTAATATGCTCCTTTTGGTTAGTATTAATTTGCACTTCCTCCCTGACCTTTTTGAATACTCAAATTTGTCACTGTATTTTGTTTCACAGTGTTGGAATCAACAAGGTTTCGAGAAATCAACTGAACTTCACTTACTGTTCGGCCAGGAATTCCTAGCCCTGGAGGACCTATGTCACCTGGAGAACCGTGGACCCCTGGCAGTCCTCTTTCACCCTATGCAAGGAGATGCTTCCATCAGTGCAAGGCTCAATTTTTTCCCAATGGTGTTATGATAATTATCAGTTATTTAACAATTGTCTATAATATTTTTATACCTTTGGCCCACGTGGACCAGGTGCTCCAGGATTTCCATCTAATCCCTTAAGGAAACAAAGAAAGTAAACACTTTTAAAAAGGCTAAGGGCATTTTAGAAATCATAACTCAAAAACTGTTTCATGTTCGTATCTTACTTGAATAAATCTTTTTCTATAAAAATATAAAGAACTGGAAAAATACAATTTCAATAAGTTATAGATATGGTATATGTTAAAATAAAAGGTAGCTTTACTTGAAATGAGACATCTGATGAACACCTAAGCTGTTTTCTACATTTGTGATCTAAATCTAGGGACACATAAATCATAATGGATTTTTTAGAGAAGTATTAGTAAAAGGGCTGGTACTTACTGGTTCCCCTGGCAGGCTTTTCCCTGGAGGACCAGCCTCACCTTTTGGACCTGGAAGTCCAGGAGGGCCTATAATCCCACCTGGCTCGCCCTGAGGAAAACAAGGTAAGAGTCTTATTTATTTCATTGCTCAGCTCATGGCAGAAGGTGTAAAAGTAAGTTTCCACTGTTTTAAATTGTCAAATTTCATTTCCTCCATTCATTCATTCATTCACTCACTCACTCATTCAGCATTATTTATTGAGTGCCAATTCATGCCAGGCACTGTTCTGATTATATCAAATACATTTTGATTTTGTAGTAAGTTACATTACAATAAGCATAGCTGTATCATAAAACATAGGCAAGTGTAAATATATTCACACAAGTGCATATATCTACATACAGCTCCTTAGATCATCTTTGTGCTTTTTTAAGTAAGATTACATGCACTATTTCCATGTAGACATTATGGAAATAGGTCCTGAAAGATTGTGAGACTTATGTCTATAACAGAGTTGGGAGCTGTGCTGAAAAAGGCTTTCTGAGCACAGAGATTTTCATCTCTAAGTTAGTTCATTTTGTCACCTTATATTTCTATGCCAGAACCAGGGCTGCCATGACGCTTAAGTTCAGGGGCACCATTCACACTGCTGTTTATATGACAGTCTCTGCCCGGCACAGTTCTGGCACTATTGTCATCCTTCCACTTCCTGTCTCTTCCTCCCATCTATTTTTTAAAAATATGAAAACAGCTAAAATGGAGCCAATACCTTTTCTCCCTTAATGCCTTGTTTTCCTGGGATACCATGTTCTCCTGGCAATCCCTAGAATAAAAGGGAAAAAGCAAGTAGAACAGCTCTTTTTATATAGAATTTCTATCTGTGGAGGTAAGGATTTTAACATATGCGCTGTTTAGGAAACGATTGATTTTGACTTGTTAGGGAAAACATTAGTAAAAATGTGACTTGTTTCTTCAAGAAAAGTCAACAAGATGTAATAGGAAAGCAACTAAATCAAACAGAATTGAACCAAATGCCTCTTCCATACTATTGCCAAGAAGGGATGGAAGGACAGTAGTCAGTAGTATCACATTAAGATTCAGAAGGATAATGAGGTAAATAGGAAACTGTGAATTTACTATTTTTGAAAACTGTGGCCCTTTGTTTGTTTTTTATTTCAGTCACATTTTTAGCTCTAGCCACTCTTTCTTAGGCTTCTTGGGCATCTTATCGCATCCACTACATGTCAAGCAAACAATTTTGCCATGGGAACTAAACGTCTGGAGTACCAAAATGACCAAGTACACTCAAAGACAGACTTTGGTAAGTTCAATGATGGAGCATAAATAATAAAGGAAGAGATAATGGGGTTGTTCCTTAGGTAATGAAGAAAGGAGAGACTTTAACAGCTGTAGAGAAGGAACATGAGTTGTGGCCAGAGATTAGTCTCTCCTGGAGTTAGGAGGAAACATCTTTTCATTAAGTTCAAGTGCAACTGACAGTGAATTCTGACTCCCAGGTTGTCAGAAAGTTAGGAAGATTGTCCAAGGGACAAAAGATTGACCAGAAGGTGGATCGAGGTGTGTGTGTGTGTGTGTGTGTGTAGTGAGTCCACTAAAGCTAGGTTTTAATGCAACCCAAGTACCTTTCTTCACTGCATTTTAAAATAGTTCCAGCTAAGAGATTTGCTCTTTTCATAGGCTCACAAAAACGACAGCAGAATCTTTGGAAGTGTTTTGTTTTTGGATGGATAATTGAAAAGAAGTCATGCACAATGGAAATACTTGCTTCCTATCTTGATTTTCCTTATTTCTTTTAATGTTTCCAGTCTCCTCTAATGTTGATACATTACTGACCAGAATATCTAGCGTTATTAATTAACAAGTTCCAAAAACTCATCATTAGCCTTATGAGATTCAAAAGAACCTCCCATGAATATATGAAGACATTAGCATTCCCAATGCCCTGATTTCATATGTGATCAGTTTTAGTGATAGAAATATCTTATGTCTTTGGAATGTGATAGCACATAGTCACATGAACTGATGTCAACATTTTTTAAAGCATAGTTCAGTTTCCATTTAATTTCCAAATATTAAAGACTCAAGTGTCAGTAGATACATACAATATCTCCCGGTGGTCCTCTGGGTCCCATAGTTCCTGCAGGTCCTTGCTGACCCTAAAATAGAAGGTAATGGGTACTTAAATTAAAAATATTAGATAGTACATACACACACACACACACACACACACACACACACACACACACACACATATATATAAAACATGGTATGACCTTTATCAATAGAAAGATAGACTATCTTCCATCCTACCTTCTCTGTGTATTCCTGAAATGTGCTTTGGGTTTCAAAGATAGTTTGGAGATGTTGCCATTTAAGTGGTTCTGTTTTTACCAGCAGGTAAGGCCTGAATACTTGCCTTGCTCATTGGTGAGAACACTACATTGTCTCTTCCGCACCATCCAATAGCTTGTCTTTCTGGGGACAATTGAGAAATCCTATCAGGGGAACTCATGCATCTCAGAGCTGTATAATTTTGGCTTAGAAACTGAGTCTTAAATCAGTTTAAATCAACTAAAATGTAGCTCAGAGTCACAGATTTAGTTCTCATTGTTTACTCCTAAAGCTTTGAGGGGCACTACTGTGAATATGCTCTGAAAAAACTTTAAAAATCCTATTTCAAACCAAATGGTACAGTTACTGTGTGTGTAGTACTAATGTAGCCAATTGGGTCGGGGGTGTGGTTGGAGAGAATCACCTATAAGCATGATAAAGTCTCCGAGAACATCGGTGAAGAAAATAAATGGCATACCCCAGTACCTTGTTAAAGGTTGTAACTTCATCCCCCCTGCACCCCGCTAATTTATCTCAGAAAATTATTATATACCTTTAATCCTGGGCTTCCTATTTCACCAGGGGGACCAGGATCTCCAGGTTCACCCTGCACATGGGATGAAAAGTGAAATAGTGATGCGACTTTTCACAATCTCATTAGGTTTGAAGATATAATGGAAAGACATGAAGAAATTACCTTTATCCCCTGTGGTCCTATAATCCCAGGCTCTCCCTGTAAGTAAAGTATTCAACATATAAGTAATCCTTAAATTCAGAGGAGGTGTGCATCTCTAGTGCTGCCATTCATTTGAATTTCTACTAATTAACATACAATAAAGGAAATTACGGAAGATATGATAAAGTCAAGGAGGGTTCATTCTAAGACATGATTTAGAATATTATTGTTAGGAAGTAAAAATAATTCATTTTCTTTCTTTAATAATGATTCCCCCCCAAAAAAGTTACTTTGACCCTGTAGTAATGTTGTACTAGTGATCACTGAATTTTATTACTTTGTTGACATTTTTATAACTTCAGATGAAGGAAGAAAAGAAAAAGTAGAATTTAAATTGATCTGTCATGGTGATTATATAATCAGGTGTATGTATTCAATGAAAAACAAACAGAAAATTAAGGTCACACAAAAAATCTATTTGGTTGTAATGAGTTGGTTATTATATTTTCCATAACTTATTAATTATTCTTTTAATAGAATCATCCTGCTTGATAAATTCAATTTACATCATTAACACAATCTTTCAAAGAAATTATATGTTGTGTTTTCATTTTGTATTTCAGATATCCTAAGTGGATCTTTCCCAACATTCATATCTAATCACTAATAGCAATGAGTTCTGGAAAATCACTAAGAGCAATGAGTTATGGAAAAGTTATGCTCCACGAACTGAATGTAAAAGTATCACATGACAAAACCTAACAAGGTTTAAAATTTCTCATTGATCAAAATAAAATTCACAGGGGGAAAAGTAAAATGCTCAGAGAGCTGATTTTATCAAATCTATTAGACTCCAAAGTAAACATACTAGAAATCAGAGAGAAGGAAATCAATGAAGCAGAAAACCCCAGATAGTGATAAAACATCTACTTACTCGATCTCCCTTTTCACCTTTTGTAAAAGGTTCCCCCTAGGAAAAAGGGTAGAAAACAGAATCAATTCTAAATACTTTTGGAGATAAACTTTCCAAAAACTGGATGTGAATAAATTCTTCAGGCCAAATTCAGACCTGCATTGCTAGCAAACCTCTAAAGTGATTCAGAGTGCATGCAGTTTGCCTTGCAGCTTAAGGGAAGCACAATGAGAAATATTTCCAAAACTAGTTCATATTCCCAAATGAACAATACAGTAATCATTCTGATAGTCTGAGAATCCTGAATAGTTGAGAAATTGGAAGGTTGTCCACTGTCTAAGCATCCTCTTGCAAGGGCCATACAGAGGATGATCACACACATTTATGCAATCACAGTAGAATGGATGTAAGGATGATGAGTGATAAATGGATATTCACTTGAACTTTGACTGCTAAGTTAATGCTTAAAAATAGAAAGTCATTGCTTGAGATACTTTACTAAATCAGTATTTTAATAAAAATCATATGAAGGGGTTAATTACTGGATAAATAACAGTACCTGTCCATAAAACTGGTGGTGGTTCTTGCTGTGTGCATATATGAAGATTTTAGGGAAGATACCAGCTTTGAGCAGGTACCTCTTGTTAAATGATACTTTTTCCATTGTCACTGTATACTAACAGTACAATCTCAGCCTTAAGCTTACTCCTGTTAGTGTCTGTTCTAGATGTTATATCTACATGATCTCACTAAATGTTTTTAACAATGCTACAAGAAAGCTACTGTCCCACTTCAAGCCTGAGAAAAGAGGCTTAGAAAGGTTCTGATTAACTGTATTATTTCCTGTGAAATAGCATTTGCCCACTTAATGTTTCCTTGTTAATCTAGGTTGTAAATTCTGTATTGCAGGGATATAGTACATCTCAACTATCACGGCATTTCTGGTATACAGTGGTGGTGCCCAGAAAGTTTATTAAGTTAAAGAATATAGTCATACAGGTACAATAATAATAGCTAGTATTTACTGAATTCCTATAGTGTACAAAGGGCTAATTTAATCCTTTTATACATATTAACTAGTTAATCCTCATGTGTTAATTGGTGATATTAGCATATCCATTTACAGATGAGGAAACTGAGGTACAGAGAAGTTTCAAGGCCACAGAGCCAGTAGAGACTGTTCAGGATTTAAACCTTGGCAGCCTGACTTCAATTTCAGCTTTCCTTGCTCAGCCTATTTGGATTGATTGGTAATTGAATGGGTTAACAATAAATTGAAAACCACACATTTAAAAACTTTTTTTTTGTTTATGAAAGTCAAGAGAAGGTTTGACAATCATTCTGGTGGATAGAACTACTCTCATAGGGCCTCTTAGGACTGCTGTTCTCTTAAATCATCTTGGGAGATAAGTGGCTACTAAATCTCTGTGCTTTTTGTGCTCTGTGTGCTAGGGACAATGTGCTTGTTTAACTTTTGTATGCTAGGAACAATGGGGTTCACCTTCTGGCCCAATTTCACCCACTCCTTGCAGTTATGGGGGCCATGTAGCTAGTTTTGGCAATGAACTGTCAGCAGAAGTGACGCATGTCTCTTGCAGGCTGGCACAGTGAGAAGCCCATTAAAGATTCCCCTATCCCACTTCCCTGCAGAGGTGATGGAGAAAGTTGTGTACAGCAGATGGACAGGTCCATGGTGGTAATCAGCCTGGTAAGTGAATACTGGTAAGTGAATATTAAGGAGAATATAAGGAGAACACCCCTTCTCCCCACTAAATCTTGCTGGACATGCACACATAAGCAAGAACAAGAGATTTTTATTTTGCTAAGTCACAGAAATTTTAGGGTTAATTTGTTACTTACCGCAACAAAACTTATCCTGATTGATATGCCCAACATATCTCTCTAACATGATTACATCTTATTACAATTTATATATTAGGTAGGTTTTTATTTTATTCTTATTTTTACATTGTAATTCTAAAAATCAATTTGATTTTAAGACAGGAGAAGATATTAACAAAAATGAGCCATGAGTCACTTTGTCTATACAAATGCTGTTCCTGCTTCTATCACCCTGCTTATGTCATTTCTTATTTAGAGACATCGTAAAGCCTCACTGTCTAAAGTAACTGGTAGTAAAAGAAAACAGTAGCCTAGTTGTCCAGGGACTTCATATTTAGACTAGCTCCAACAATTGCAACGTGGATCATTGCTTCGTAGAATATTTTCCCTTATCTATAAAATGGTCTCCTTAAAATATTTTAGCTCTGATATGTTCCACATCTCACTCAACATATTCTAAATGTCCTGTGTGGGAGCAAACCACCATTTGAATATTAACATTCAAGTTCAGAATTCAAATTTGGATGAGGGCTGTTTTGTTTTTACTTTCTGATTATTAAGCAAAGTTAAACCCAGACCTTGTTCTGGAATAGAAAGAATAGAATAAGCTGTGTTGTTCTGTATAATAAAGTAAAATGTGTGTGTGTGTGTGTGTGTGTGTGTGTGTGTTATATGGAAGGATAAGGAAGAAGGAAGCAAAGGGAGGCAGATAATTAAGGGATTAAGAAGGAATCAGAAAGAAGAGTTAAAAGGAAAAGAAGTTTTGTCTCTCCTGGGTCAGGCAGAGAAGGCTAAAGGTAGTTTCATCTAGGGTAGTGGGGTAGATGGGCTGTTTCCTTTTACCCCCTTCTCCCCAACCTCAAATACTAGTGGTATGAGAGAAAGCCAGAGGAAGTCTGCTGGAGTTGTGAGATCATTCAAACTTGTATTGAAAGCATATGGTCCATGGTCCAACCTCAAGAGCACCACCTGAGAGGCTGTGAGAAATGCAGCTTCTCTGGTATCACTTCAGACCCTCTGAGCTATAATCAGCATTGCAAAATGATCCCTAGGTGATTCAAGTATGCATTTACATTTGAGATGTCTGGGTCTACTTCACTAAAAGTTTCTAATTTGGACTCTTTAAGTAACTGCTTTTTCAATGGAATTTTAGTAAATCTCACTGCCAGGTCTGCCATCTGCCACGTGGAAATAAAGAGAAGGTGCCTGTCAGTGTTCAAGCTTGGAGGAGAGACAGTAGAGACCTAGAGAAGCAGCTAAGATGTGACAAGAGATGCCAACAAGTATGGAGTTACTGGAAGGGACAGTACCAGCAGGCTGGAACTGAGGACACCTGATATTTTTAGTCATCCCTGAAAATGCTAAGTTGGGCATTTCCTCAACGCTGTTCCTTGTAACTGATATGATACACAAGAATTCAAGTATTAGGTAAATATATTAACTACTGCAGGTTATGGGTTAAGGTCTGTCCTGTCTCCAGATCCAGTGCCTTGACTAAGAAGCTTGTTTTAGGGAAACCAGCTGTTAATAGAAGGAACAACTCTGCAGTTGTTGAAGTAAATGGTCTTCCTCAAGTCAGGATGTCTAGGTCCTGAAACCACTTGCTGATTTATATGGGTTCCTCAAATAACTAAACTTTCTTTTCTCAGATGCTAGTTTGTATCTTCTCCTATAAAACCCTAAAGCCCTGCTGAATTTGAGTTTGGGCTCCCAAGTCCCTTTCTTAGCACCATCTTGATAAAAACAAAAAGAAAAACCAAAAAACCTTTCGCATGGCATTTAATGTTTGGTCCTTATGTGTTTCAGGTGCACAAACCATTGGACAGTTGGTTACAGTCATGTAGGTAGGTCTGGAATGGATACTAAGAGCAAGAGTGGCACCTGAAGGTAGAGGAAACTGCAGCAATCTATAACAGCAATGTTTCTAAAGATACCTGAAAAACTACTGTCATTTCTAAAGATGCCCAATTTTAAAAGCTGAAGTACAGGGAAAAGTTGGCTTTGTACTTTTAAATACTTTTATACTGTTTCTATTTGGCATGTAGGCAAGTTAGTGACCTCTCATTCATTACTCCCTGTAAACCAATATCCCTTATTCACTCTTGCAAGAAAAGGGGTAAAAGTGATTTTTAAAAATTGCATCTTTAGGCCCTCCCTGGTGGTGCAGTGCGTTAAAGCACCATACTGGGAAGCTGAAGCCACTTCTGCATGAATTGGACTCCCGCCTGCCCGGGAGGTGACCACGTGGCGTGGCAGACCCCTCCTGACCCGCCCGCTGCTCCACTCAGCAGTGTACTTCATCGATCTGCCTGTTCGGCTCCCCACTCTGTCTCTGGTGAAGCCTCTTGCCACCCCTGAGCCTCTGGCCTGTACCCCAGTTCTGTATGCACAAATAAATAAATCTTTTAAAAAAGAAAAATTGCATCTTTATGGTCTTTTAACTTTTTTCAAAAAATTAATTTTTAACAATTATGTATATATATCATATCCTTCTTCATTTTGTACATTTTTCACCTCAAGTCCCTATGGACTTCCACCAACAATTCACCAATATGCCATCACCATAGATTTTAAAACAGAAATGAAAAATTTATTTGTTAAGACTGATTCTTGAGGGGTTTTTTTTTTTAGCAAATTTAAAAGAACAGATACTTTTATAACTTGTATTCACTTGATAGCTTTAGATAGTCTTACTTGAATATAAATGACACTGTAGGTTTTTTTTTTTTCTTCATTAGAAGACCTAAGTCTTAAAAGAAAGTGGCTGAGAAGTCACATTGATCTTACCGAATTTAAGAAAGAAAAATAACTCTGGAAAGCATACTGAGAACAGTTGTTTTAGCAGAGAGATAAACATTTAATTTGGGAGATAAATTAGCTCAGTCTTTAATTATAGTGGATTTATTATTCGTTTTAGCTAGAACTTTTAATTATAGTAGGAAAGCTTAGTGATTTTTAAAAAAGATTTATTTATTTATGCATATAGAACTGGGTTATAGGCCAGAGGTGCAGGTACAGTGAGAGGATTCACCAGAGACAAAGTAGGAAGCAGAACTGTCAGATCAATGAAGTGCACTGCTGAGGGGAGCAGCAGGCGGGTCAGGAGAAGTCGGCTGTGCCTTGTGTGTCACCTCTGGGGCAGGAATGGAACTCATGCTGAAGTGGCGTTAGCTTCTTAGTGCTGTGCTTTAACCTGCTGCACCACCAGGGAGGGCCCAGCTTAATGATTTTGAAACCCTGGGCTCTTGAATAAACCAACCTGGGTGTGATTCATGACTTACTAACCTGTGACCTTGGGCAGGTTAATTAACTTCTCTTTGCCTTAGTTTCCTCATCTGAAAAATGGGGATAATAATAGCCTATCTTCTATTTGTTTAAAAGTAAGCTAGTACACATACAGAACTTAGCATCTCATAAAGAAAACTTGCTCAAATACCTGATTTATTTTTGTTTACCATGGCAGCAGCTTTATGTACATCATTGGGGCTGATTATGAAACATATTTTAAATATATATTTGGATATTTTTCCTCTTCTCTCAAAGCTAAGATACTTACAGATTCTCCTTTTTGTCCTTTTGGGCCAATGGACCCTGGAAATCCTGGTTGCCCAGTTTCACCCTTCCAGGAAAGAGCAGAAGAGAGAGTTTGCATGTGGTTAGATGAGCACTGTTGTGACTATCAAGGTCACAGATTCTAAGAAACACAGATTCAGTTGTTCTTCAACCAAGTAGTGTATCTATTATGCTCCAAAAGACAATGGGAAGTTCTGAATCAAGTTAGGCAATTTGCATAATAATGTGTCTGTCAGTGCTTCATAATGCCTTTAGGTCTTTTATATCCATAATATTCATTCAGATATTTAAAACCAGTGTAAAACAAAAGTTAATTATTTTTCAAGGAAAGAACATCTAGAGGATAGTTCTAATAAATAATAACTTTGCTCTGTTGTATCAAAGAAAATCATTTTTGGGATCTTAAGGCATCTGATGGTTTTACTGACACAATAATCCAGAGTCACTTAATTTCAGACACTTATTTTTTAAGTGGGAGTGCTGGTATGGGGGAACCATGTGAGGAGAAATTAGTCTCTCGGCTGTTTCCAACACTAATAATGCTGTTTAAATGATTGACTATGGACAAAGGCAGCATTCTTGTTGATGTGGTGACAGCAATAGCTTAGAAATGTCTAAGATTTTCTGGTCAACATCTTGAAGGGTGTTTTATATGTGACATACAAAGAGTATTCTGAGAAGACAGTTTTAGAACTGATACGTGTGGAAAGGAAATAGCTCACTAATCAAGCGTGAGAGGATCCCAGCACTGTGCTTCTTTCAATTTTGACAAAAATCCTTGAATAACACATAATTGGTAAATTAAATATGGCTACTACTATTTATATAGACTTTCCACTCAAATTCAAGACCATTTTTGCAAAACCAATGTTCACCATTCTATTTTTGAGAATGCATCTTTCTTTCAGGTTTTGTTAATTTTTATTTCAGAAAACATAAAGTTGGGTTTGTCAATCCTCCAGGTACCAGGCACCCGAAATGAAAGAAATGAAAATAATTTGCAATCAAGTAGAAATATCCTACATTTCCTTTTCTATTCCTGTCCCAGTGAGAGCCACTCTCATGAATTTAATACTTTTTAGTTCATAATTTTGTACTCTTACTGATTACATGGAATCATAAACAATAGATTTTATATATTTAAACAAATTCCATATGTGGCTTTTTATGTGTGAATTTTTTTTTTCAATTTCCTTTTCTATTGGTACATATAGATCAAGATCATGCACAGGACAGCATTTTATCTGATCTATGTTAACACACCAGTGTTTGTCCAAGCCTCATTGATGAGCACTGGGTTGTTTCTAGCTTCCCTCTATTATGAGCAGGCTGTAGTAACCATTTCTATGTGCCCTCCTGTGTGGATGTGTTTATACATTTATTGTGAAACCTCAACCAATAATCCACCAATGTACTTTAAGTATGAATTCATTATACTCCTAAAAACATTGACTTATTTTTACATTTCTATCCTGCTTACTATCTTGTGATAAATTCATATAAGATGAAGAGGGAACATGCCATATGTCATGGATAGAAAAGAGCATGTTTATATTATATTTTATCATGCAACATAAATTGAGTTCCTTCTCTAGATTTGTGGAACACATAAGTTTAATCTTGATTTTATTAATATAACCATTTTTTCCCCCTTTCTAGAACCTAAATAGTGTGCCTTAGTCTTATATTTGCCACACTGTAAGAGAAGATTTTTTTCTAGGCATAACAAAATTTATCTAAAGTAAGAAAAGGGAGAAATTGGTAGATACGTTTAAGATAACAGTTGCTGTTGGTTTGAAGAAGAACTAAACAATTGGCCTTGTATAGCAAAAGGGTATTACAGAATGACCTTCCTAGTAACATCAGGTAGGTGCTAAAATCCTCACTGATAGGGGTGAAGGAGAAATAGGTGGAATAATTATATTGACCTGCACATCCAAAAAAAGAGAGATCAGGAAAAGTATCTAGAAATTCAAATGAGTAGGGGAGAGGAATATATTTGGAAGGCTGATTGTATTCATAGCTGCTATACATTTGAATAGATGCAAATAGCTCTCCATTGAAATATTGAGCTCCTATTGTGTTTTTGATTCATCTCATTTAATTCAAATCATCCCTCAACTCTCTGGGTAGTTACTTTCATGTCCATTTACAAATGTGTAAACTGATGCTTAGATAAATAGTGATATCTACAAGAAGACTTACCTGTTGATGTCACAATCAACCTTAGACCCCAAAGTCCACAACCTTTCCACCACTCAGTGATACTCAGCCCTGACTGCCTGTTAGAGTCATGAAGCATTTTTAAATAACAGTGATATAGATCAGAGATTAATCAGAGATATGGGCTGCCTCAAATCAGTCTTTGGGGATGGAACCCAACAGATGCTTGGCCCAGTCTCTGAGTATTATTTGTGTATGGCAGAGATTGGAGGAAATCTTAGGGATCAGTTCCTTCTTATACTATATTGTAAGCAAAAGTATTTCATGCCTAAATCCTAGACTTATGTGAAATTGTTTTTCATAGTTAAAATGATATTCAGTGATTTATCACTGTGGTTAAGGGTTGAAAGAGGAGTGATGAATTTATGTAGCATTAGGAAAGGCTGTTCTTTAATTTGACACTTTTGATACTATTTGAAAATCTCAGTGCTGTTGAAATTCCATTTTTTTTCTCTCTGACAGTCTGCCTGGAAAGACAACTGTTAATTTCTCAGGAGTCCTTAGAAATTCTGTCACCTTATTCCACTGTTGCTATAAAGAAACAGTTCTTCTCAATCAACTTGCAAATACATTTTCCATCCTTACAGACTGTCAGTCCCAGGAAAGTTACAAAGTACAGATCATCACTTCAGTACTGGTAGACTGGTCATGAGATGCCATTGTCTCTTACTGTCTTTTAGCATTAATAAACTTATAGTGTGCCTTAGTGTTTTCCCCTGTATTTAAGTGTCTTGATGTAGGATGTGGTTGTTAATGCAAGAATGATTTGCACATAGATTTACTGCTTTTTGTTTGTTTTGGGCTTCATGCTACTGTTAGGTTCCAAATGAGGCCAATTCTGTGATTCTGTTTTGCAAGTTAGTACATTAAAAAGAGATGTAGTATGTATATACAATGGAATATTACTCAGCAACCAAAAAAGAGAAACACATGTCTTTTGCAGCAACTTGGATGGAGCTGGAAAAGATCATGCTTAGTGAG